ATGCGGCTGAGCCACCGGCTGAAAATCAAGTCAACCAGCATGAAATGGTATTCCTAATGCGGCTGAGCCCAGCTGAAAATCAAGTAACAGCATGAAAATGGTATTCCTTATGCGGCTGAGCCACCAGCTGAAAATCAAGTCAACCAGCATGAAAATGATATTACTAATGCGTCTGAGCTACCAGCTGAAAATCAAGTCAACCAGCATGAAAATGGTAATCATAATGTGGCGAGCCACAGCTGAAAATCAAGTCAACCAGCATGAAAATGGTATTCATAATGAGGCTGAGCCACCGGCTGAAAGTCAAGCCAACCAGCATGAAAATGGTATTCATAATGCAGCTGAGCCGCCAGCTGAAAATCAAGTCAACCAGCGTGATGGATCACGAAATATTTGGTGCGAAGCTTGATTGACTTGGGTTGTTTCCTCTCCATTTTAATGAGTCCTACGTACTTTGTTAGATCAAGGAAAAAATGGATATATGCACAACCATGAATATCTGGTTTTGAAGTTAATACAATATGCATCTTAAATTAAGATGAACACAAATGATGTGGGTGCGTCGAGTCCACTAAGTATTGTTTTGGGTTTGTTAGATGTCAAAATTTTTCAGTCCCCTGTTCTAAATTTTTTTACCGAATTATGAAATAGAGAGAATTTTATTGAATAAGAGCAAATTAGGACAGTGCTAGAGGCATCCCCTTGTTGAAATTATTACATGAACAAAGACTTTTACTTGGTCTGCAAGTTACATGCAAATATTTGATAAGGGTAAATATCTACTTCCAGGTAATATGACAGTGACAGAGGAAGCATTTGAACATGGTGATTGATTTGCAATGGTTACCTGCTATGAACAACTTTTAGGAAACTGAGGGATGAATGTTTCAAGCTGTGAAAGAGTGTGGGGAGACAGGCCCAGATGGGATGTACTCACCTTGACATTTCAATGAAGCTCATTACTTTGCTTGAAGATAATTCCTTGGGGGTGAGGGCCATTTGCATTGTATTTATTTACGTATCTCTCTTTCCTTTGTTAATGATCTTCTTATCTCTTAATTTGATATGGTGAACTTGAAAACCAGTAATGCTTTCTTCCTACTACCTGATTCCTCTGTGAAAATACAAAAGATAAAAGTTAACAACATCATTGTAGTGACAACATTAAAAAAGAAATCCTAATATGTTGTTCACGTGTCAAGAGGAGAGTGAGAGAAATGAGGAAGAGTATTACTAGTATTCCTTTATATTGTTGCCATTGCCTTTCTGGGGGAGCCATGAAATGTCTATAGCTTTAGTTATCGGGAGCCATTCTGGTCTTCTTTTCATTGAAACACCAATGCAGGTTTTGTAATGAGAATTTAGAAAGCAAGAAAAAGAGGCTAAATTTTCTTAATGTTTTTCTTAGCAAACAAACGCTAAGCAACTGTAGACTCAGACTGGAATGGGTTTTTATCCATTGATGGATTTGATCAATTTGATTTTACTAGCTTCATTTGGATATTGCAGTGTATTCTGCATGGTGCCAGGAAAGTATGATCCGCCAAAAGAAGTCTGTAAACGTTAGACAGGAGATGGGAATCCTGCCAAGAACCAGCGAGAAAGGATGAAAGAGCTTTATTTACATAGGAGCTGTTGAACGTGTCTCAAGATGCTGCAGAGGTGTTCGGACTTGAGAAGTGCTGAATAGATTGGTGAGGTGGCAGCTGGAAAAGAGGTATTTCAGTTACCTGTGGAATGAGTCAAGTTTCTGAAGTAGTTAAAACTAAGTGTTGCTAGAAATTAGACATTAAGATTATTAACTGCTGTTCATGTATTCGTGCAGCACTTTTTTAGTTTATTGTTTGTATATATTGCACTTTCATTCAATGAAATATGTAGATAATTTGCAGTCTATTTCTTCCTGTTTTTGCTATCATTCTGCTGTTGCTCGTGTAAAACAACAACAGTAGCAGATATTGCAAATATTCTATATGGTTTAACACCAATTATTTTTTCTTTTTACACAAACCCGGATAGGAAGACCGATTTTGTATTTAAACCCTGTTAACGTGTGACTCCGAAGTTGTATTTAAACTTGGACTGGACGGCCGGTTGGACTGGGACTCGACAACCTCTTTGGTTCGTTTCAGGGTTTTTTTTATATTTTTCAAGGTTGTAAGGACTACACGAAATTTAATAGGGGTGTTTTTGAAATATTTCAAAGATTTAGGGACTAAAATGGGGGTATTTTTGAAATAAATTAAAATTTCAGAGTCTCATGGTAATTTTGTAGGGGTAGTTTTGCAATATATTAAAATTTATAAGACTAATGTAATTTTTTAAAAATATTTTCATTGTTGACATCATATATCCAACCAGTTGGACCAGTCTACCTGTGACCCAATCATCTTGTCAGGTCTCATTACGGATTGAGTTTTAAAATAACGGGCTACAGTATTAGGGGTGTTCGATTCCGGGTATCCTGTATTTTTTGAAAGAATTGGAACCAGAATCGACAGTTCTAGACTTCTAGTTCTGGGTACCCTATAAAATTACATGGACCTCTCAAAAGTTTTTAAAATGGCAAAAAACCCTTAAAAACTTACAAATACCCCCCTCCCCCCCAATTATTTTGTAAAGATAGATTCTCAAAAGTCAAACCAACTTACTTTAAATATTATGAAATATAAATATAAATATATTCACATTACTTTTTTTATAAAAGTTTTTATTAACCCCTTACTTTTTAATTTTATTTTATATTAGTCTCGGTTCCTGGTTCCGGTTCCTAACTATAAGAATCAGAACCGCACAGTAACAATTCCAAAAAATTGGAACCTGAACTTACTCGTTGACGGCCGGTTCCGGGTAGGAATCAGAACCAAACCCCGGATACTCGCCGGTTTCGGTTCCAATCGGTTCTTTTGAACGTCCCTATCAGTAGTTGTGGTTTTCTTCTCGAATTAATTAAAAAGACTTGAGAAATTATTCTGAGATACGCAAACAGAATGAAAAATTTCTGTTCTCATCTCATGCTTTTGCAAGAGAAATTGAGCCACTTGAATGGCAAGTTGATCGCTTTCTAGACGATAAATTGGCAACCACAGAATTATAATCTGGTTACATAAGATCAATTTGCAGTATTAGTATTTGCCCAGCAAGTCAACTGGGCAAGTAACATCGACAATTTTCATCAATTTTCTTCCACCTACGATAATCTTTTCAAAGGTGCTCTCAGACACTGATGTCTGATGTTTCAGCAAGACTGGTACTTCCAACAACCGCTTTAGGAATTTGATGTTCTAAAGGAGATATCATATAGCATAGCATTACATAGATTTTCTGGTTAAGTGATAAAAGTGAGTTTGAGTAAAACGCTTGCTCAAAAGCTGGTGAGGAAAGGCTTCAGCCAAAACTAGTTAAAGGAAGGGCTTGTCAAAGCCTCCCACTTAAATCGGGTATGCATAAATGAAGAACTGAAACTAAGACCGTACGTGAATAATACTTTGCGTACTAACAGATTTTACTAACCAATGTACTAACCTTTGTTAAAATCATACATAATACTCATACTATGCGTATGATACTCATACTATGCTTTAAGTTAGTACACTGATTAATAAAATCCGTTAGTACGCATAGCATTACCCGACCGTATGTCTATTCATACTATCCTAACTCGTCCTAATCATATAAAGTACCCACGGATCACTCTTAAGTGCATATGTATACAGTAATTATACTAAAAATTAAACACCGTTCGATACAAACTTTTTAATATTATTCTATATATATATATGGGCTCAACCCAAGAAATCAAGGCCCAAGATCAGCGATAGCCCAGCCCAACCCAATCTTCACCGAAGAACTGAAGGAACTCANTCACTCTTGTTGAAAATTATTACATGAACAAAGACTTTTACTTGGTCTGTCAAGTTACATGCAAATATTTGATAAGGGTAAATATCTACTTCCAGGTACATATGACAGTGACAGGGAAGCATTTGAACATGGTGATTGATTTGACAATGGTTACCTGCTATGAACAACTTTTTAGGAAACTGAGGGATGAAATGTTTCAAGCTGTGAAAGAGCTGTGGGGAGACAGGCCCAGATGGGATGTACTCTACCTTGACATTTCTAATGAAGCTCATTACTTGCTTGAAGATAAAATTCCTTGGGGGTGAGGGCCATTTGCATTGTCATTTATTTACGTATCTCTTCTTTCTCTTTGTTAATGACCTTCTTATCTCTTAATTTGATATGGTGAACTTGAAATACCAGTAATGCTTTTTTCCTCACTACCTGATTCCTCTGTGAAAATACAAAAGATAAAAGTTAACAACATCATTGTAGTGACAACATTAAAAAAGGAATATCCTTAATATGTTGTTCACGTGTCAAGAGGAGAGTGAGAGAAATGAGGAAGAGTATTACTAGTATTCCTTTATATTGTTGCCATTTGCCTTTCTGGGGGAGCCATGAAATGTCTATAGCTTTAGTTATGGGGAGCCGTTCTGGTCTTCTTTTCATTGAAACTGACCAATGCAGGTTTTGTAATGAGAATTTAGAAAGCATAGAAAAAGAGGCTAAATTTTCTTAATGTTTTTCTTAGCAAACAAACGCTAAGCAACTGTAGACTCAGACTGGAAATGGGTTTTATATCCATTGATGGATTTGATCAATTTGATTTTACTAGCTTTCATTTGGATATNGGATCACTCTTAAGTGCATATGTATACAGTAATTATACTAAAAATTAAACACCGTTCGATACAAACTTTTTAATATTATTCTATATATATATATGGGCTCAACCCAAGAAATCAAGGCCCAAGATCAGCGATAGCCCAGCCCAACCCAATCTTCACCGAAGAACTGAAGGAACTCAGCAGAACACTAGACACCTTCAATTCAGTCCCTCTCAAAATTTCCAGTTTCTCCACATCAAAGCAAACAAAACAAAATCACAAAAACAAACCTCTAAATTCTTCAATTCACCATAAAAAAAATCAACCATGTCCACTTGTTTCCTTCATTTCACTCCCATGGCGACTTCAATCTCATCTTCTTCCTCTTCATTTCCCTCTCGTAGAAGCAACCCGAGGCCTGTCAAGACTCTTTTTGCTGCTTCTTGTATTGGTTCCAAGGCCTCTGCTAAAATCCCCATGCCACCCATTAACCCTAAGGACCCCTTCCTTTCGAAACTCGCTTCTGTTGCTGCCAAATCTCCTGAAACGTTTCTTAACCGTCCTGTTAACCCCGACACGCCGCCGTATTTGGATGTCTTTGACTCTCCCACTCTTATGGCCACTCCTGCCCAAGTAAGCCCTCTCACGTAATTTAAAAAAAAACGGGTACTTTTATTTCTGTTATTTATTTACTTGGGTATCAACAAAGTCATGTTTTTTTTATGGATAGGTGTTGTAGGTTAAGATTTGGTATAAAGAAGACATATTTGTAAACTGTTAATCAATTTATTTATGGGTTTATGGAGTAGAGTTGATTTAGGTTGAAGGTAGAATTTGTTGTTTATTTATTTAGTTCTGTGTAAGCAGGTACTTAGCTTAGCATTAAAAAATTATGTAATTGTTATTTATTTGTAATTGTTAATCTATTTTAATCCTATGGTTTATGTAGTAGAGTTAGTTAATTAAGGTAAAAGTAGAGTTTAATATTGTGAATATAGCAAGTTTTTGTTTATTCTGCTGGATTAGAATGGTTAAATGAATACTGGTGGCAAATTTTGAAGACCCTTGATTGACCATTTGTGACAAATTACTTTTATGAGCTGCCCAAGTAAGCCTTTATAATTAATTTTAAAGAAATTGGGGTTTTATTTGTTTATTTGGGATGTTAAGTTCTTTATTAGCTTCTTGGCTAGCAAGAAATTTATGTTATTGTTGGCTTGGGTATTGTCACTTAGAGATTTGGTTTAAAGAAGACTTATATGTGATTGTTAATCTACTTTAATCTTAGGTTTTATGGAGTAGAGTTAATTGAGGTAGAAGGTAGAGTTTTTCATTGTCAACCAAAATTTGTTTATTTGGATTTCGAGGAGAGTTTATTTTACTCAAGAATTGTTAGCTGTTTTAAGCAAGTTTGTACTTTCTTATTTTGTTTTATTAATGTTTATGTTTATCTTTGAGTTAGGTGGAGAGATCAGTTTCATACAATGAACATAGGCCAAGGAGGCCGCCACCGGATTTGCCATCATTGCTTCTCCACGGTAGAATAGTTTACATTGGAATGCCGGTAAGTGGTTTGATTTAATATGTTCTCTTAATGCTTAAGTTTCTGTTTTTATAGAAAAGCTTGAGTCAAGTGATGTAGAACTATAGTAATATATGTTTCATAATGTTGTTGAGGCTGAGATATGCAGAATGTCTTCCATGTGTAGTGGTATAGATATATATAAATTGCTACAATCTGTCAGATTATAGAAGAGTTTTGTACTTAACCTATAGAATTTTTGTGGTGGGAACTAGAGTTATTTTCCTTATAAATGGGCCGAGCAAATTTGACATAAAACCATCTGATGAACTTGGATTTTTAAGGTCAGTGTGATTGCCGTATCTGCTGATTTGTCATTGAAATAGTATTTTTTCATCTTTTTTTTTTTTTTTTTTTTTAAATTTACTTCTTGATACCCAAAAACCTTCTTTCATGTTCACTAAGTTATAAATTGTTGGTTGTGATTATCTTCAGCTATCCTAGTGTCAATGTTTTTGCATTCTGATGCTACTTTATATATTTTATAAGAGTCATTATCACCTTCTTATAATTTCATTCCTCTCTGTTCAACAAGTTAACCATTTTATCCGCCCCAGTTGGTGCCTGCTGTCACAGAGCTTGTTGTTGCAGAGCTGATGTATTTGCAGTGGATGGATCCCAAAGAACCAATATATATTTACATAAATTCAACTGGGACAACTCGTGATGATGGTGAATCGGTAAGCTTTGCATCTGAATCCTAAAAAGCCTGTCTTTCTGTTTATTACATTAAAATTGGATATGAATAAAAAATAGATGGTGTTCTGTATGTGACTCATTGAAATTCACATAACATAATGCACAGCCTTTAGTGATGCACCTTTTTTTAACTCTTTTCTGGAAGAATGAATTTGGTGAGTTTAGAGTTTTTTCTGAAATAGATTTGGCTATTCTGTTTTGCAAGTTTGGTGCATTAGATCTGATTGTGAACATGTTATATGTGTTGGAAATTATATTTCTGATACATCTATCTATTTGATGATGAATCACCTGACAATTTATAATTTGGATTTTCTGAACTGATACCAACTTTGTCATGAGTATGTCGGGCAAACCTGGATCAGATCAGCTTTTAGAACTAAGAGATTATATGTTCATATAGCCTTTATAATTGTTGCCGATTCTTAGCTGTTGCATACCATTTTCATCAGTAATGCCTTTTCTTTTATTAACATTTTCATTTAATCAAAATGCTTACTATTCAGGTTGGGATGGAAACAGAAGGTTTTGCCATTTATGATGCTATGATGCAGCTGAAAAATGAGGTGAGTTCCTCTTTTGTGAAAGGATTTGATTTTTCTCATTTGTATCATATTTCTGGTGATAACAGTGATTATGCTACTGATGTGACGCGATTTAATGTGGATGGAAGTGTCTTAGCAATTAATGTAGATTGTGATGGCTATCCTCGTTTAATGCAACGGAGATATAAACAGTCATTTTCTTGATCCCCCTGGATGTTTATGATATAGTTCCTTTCATGAAAGAAATAGGGTTTCATCACTTATGAATTATGATTCAAGTGTTTTTCCTGTTACATATTTGTTCCCTGTTACATATTTGTTCTTTTTATGTAGATACATACGGTTGCTGTTGGAGCTGCTATAGGCCAGGCTTGTCTACTGCTAGCTGCAGGAAGCTCGGGAAAACGTTTTATGATGCCTCACGCCAAAGGTTTAACAAATTGTTTAACTTGTGATCCTATGCTTTTGATGCTTTTATCCTTTCCTTTGTCTGATTACTAATGGTCACACAAGTTCTATTTCAGCCATGATTCAGCAGCCTCGTGTCCCTTCATCTGGGTTGATGCCTGCTAGTGATGTTCTTATTCGTGCAAGAGAGGTTAGTTGTCTCTATTATAATGTATTTTCAGGCATATATAATGAAATGAAGAACAACAGCTATAAGGTTCAGTGTATTCCTCTTTCCTTTTGTTTAATCTCTAATTTCTTTTGTCTCATCATCAGATTTTGCTATTTAATGTGATTACTGTTCGGAGTCATTTTGTGCTCAATTTCTTTGCTTCTTTAATTGCTAACTGTTGTATAAGTTAAGAAAACTGTTTTTAGAAATTTATTCTGTTAATTGTTTTTTGCAGGCTATAACAAACAGGGACACTCTTGTAGAACTTCTGGCGAAGCACACTGGAAATGTATGGTTCATTGCGTTAAACCTTGTTGTGAATGAATGTTAATTAGGAAAAATTAGGGAGCTAATCGTATAACTTGCAATCTTTCAATAGTCACAGGAGGCAGTTGCAAATGTTATGAGAAGACCATTTTATATGGATTCTACTAGAGCTAGAGAATTCGGGGTCATTGACAAGGTAACTTTATAGACAAACGTTTGAGGTTTTTGACATTTCACATACGTTGTGTTTGCTTGTGACTGAGCTAATACTTGATTATGGGGTCCAGATTCTGTGGCGTGGTCAGGAAACAATCATGGCAGATGTTGCACCCCCAGAGGCGTGGGACAAGAATGCTGGCATTAAAGTCGTGGATGGACTTTAATTTTTCTTAAGCCAATATATCATAAGAAGTAAATTTCTCTTCTCTCTTTTTTCTTTCCTATACCATTGCCGTTTGTGGCGCGAACTATGAAATAAAGTTAGGCCACAATGTGTTTTTCTGCCCTATGAAATGGAACTAAACTGCTCTCTGTAGATTCTTACGTAGGAAGTCATGAATTCATCTTGAAGGAGCTAGATTGTGGTGGTTTACTCGATAATGAATTGGCATTGAAGTTTTGTCTCATCTGCAGGTGTTATGACATATTATTCGGCGAGAGCCTTAAACATGCAACAATATAGCAATCTTCGCAAGCTATACCCAGAACCTTATAGCCAGAACCGGTTGCAGATTGATCTTCAGTCTTATGACCTTATCATGAACAATAGTTAGCTTGTACAAAGCCAAGTTGACAAAGAAGTCAATGCAACAATGACACTATTAAGTTTTGCATTGGAGTTACACATAATGTCATAGATTATGTTCAGGTTTGCGATGATTCGACTTTTCGTATTCTTCTTGTATAACCTCGATGAAAAATTTATTTCTTCAAAAAAGAAGAGGAAAAAAAAAAAAATCGATCTTTTTTCTGGTATAATTCCATCTGTTTGCTCATCCCTTGTTATTGTGAATGATTCTTGGGTCAATATGAAGACATTAGAGACTCAACCAAATTTGATGAATAGAAGAAATATATGAACTTGTTTTATTTGCGTCCCTGTGCTTTTTGCTTACTGATATCAAGGACTTCCGTTTAAAACACTATAGTTTCACTCTTTACACTTAACAGAATAGGTGAGAAAAGACAATAATACCCTTAAATTACAATAATTTGTTCAGTGTGAATTTGAAACAAAATATTTAAATCTTAAAAAAAAGTTGTTACTTGTTTTTCGTGTTTTATTAGAAGTGTTTTGAGTCGTAGTATTACCCATTGTAGCTATTTAATTATATGATTTAAGGGTATTATTGTCTTTTGACACTTATTGGGTTAAGTGATGGTACTAAAATTATAGTATATCAAATGACTCTGCTTACAAAAGTAAGCAGAAACCATAGGGACGGCATTGAATTCTGAATTGTTCCAACTTAAGAATCATCCCTAAGGTTTGGAAAAGAACATATTCATCCAAACAAATCTGAAAGTGACACTGTAGTCCCCAATTGCAATTAGATTATAGACGTCTCACGTCTCCCATTTAACTCAGCAAGGGCAATATTGTCTTTTAAGCCAACCCAATATATAGTATGATTTAAACTTCCGTGTGGAGACGCTGGAGAGGGAGACGAGATGCGGCACCTCCCAATTTCAATACGATTCATGATATTTCTCTCTCTTACCATTACACCTCCAGTTTCAGCTTCACTCTTCTTCTGCAAACTCCCCTCTCCTCCCGTCCCAAAGGCCACACCCTCCGATCTCCTCTCTCTCCTCGGTCCCACCCGCCACTCCGTCAACCCTCTCGTTGCCCGAGAGCTCAGCTCCTGCTTCAAGTTCCTCGTTCCATTTACTCCCCGTAAAGAATTTGAAGGCTTCTCCATTGGACGCACCTTGAATAATATAAAGAAGGTTACGAGCCGAACGGACAAGGAGAATGAGCTCGTTTGGTGGCCCCCCGAGGCCGTTCTTGAGCTCGCTCGGCTCGCCGTTGATTCCGGCGGCGACCCTGATGCTATTTATCAAGCTCTTGACCCTACCATGTTCACTGTGAGTTCTCGTTTCATTGCGTTTCTTTGCTTGATTACATATGTAGGTTTTGTTACTGTTTTATTAAGGCAATTGGGTTGGTCTCAATTGGGGTTTGGGACGAAATTAGTAAATTTTGGTACATTTTTTAGTAACATTTGGTTACCAAATTCTTGGTTGTTAAGGAAGTGAAATGATGTTTCACTTTTCTAGAGATTTATTGTATTAATGTTTGTAATTGATTGGAACGTATGATCTCTACAACTTTGGTATGCAAAGATATTTTTCATTGAGTAATGTGATAGGTACCTGATGTTGAATGTTCGAAAGAGAATCGATGTGAGCTAACTAGAACACCCTACGGGAGACAATTCATAAGTGAGGTTAGCTTCAAACATCAAAGGTTTTGTCCTTTTATTGATTATTTTCTGCCTTTTGTGACTTGCATCTCTTGTTGGATTGCAGGAGTTGAATTCATATCTCGGGTATTTATTTGAACTTATTGTTGCTCGAGGTCCTGATGTTGGGTTGAGTGTGTCACTGGATCGCTATGATTTATTTCATGGTCACCTCTTTCTTGCCACGGAAACTGGAAGGCTTGGTATCTTGTAAGTTAGCATCTTTCTCATGGCTCTGGCCATAATTATGATATTTAAAAATTGTTCATGTTTGGATAACAAAATCAAATGCTGAATGGTTCACACACAAATAATCAACTTGTAAAAACTTGATTCAAGAAGATGTTAGATGACAAGCTGTTTAACCTTGGCAGGTCATCAAGAAGACTATGTGCTAGCAACGTTGGAGCAAATTTTTTAGGTTTCTCATTGATTTAGGGGTCAACTTTTCAAGAGCTAGCCAATCTTAATTTGTCTAAATATAAATTGAACTTTCAATGAGTTAAAACAGAACCAGAAATAAATTGAACAATAATTGGTCAATGCTTGTTTTGAGAAGGCTTGAGCTAAAAGAACCTTGATTAAGTTTGAGGGATGGAAGCTAGATGACCAATTAGTTCGCTACTTGCTAAATCCTATTGATTAATAGATCATTAACTACCAAATTGCAGTGCAGAATTTGTGTTGTATTTCTGTTTGTCTTAGTTTAGCTCATCATTAGTTATATTAGATTCACAAAATGGCCAATTCTTTGTTAGTGCTTGTGCCATAATTTAAAAGCTCTATTATTTTCATTGCATCTCCTGACTTCACGACACTAAAAATTGCAGATTCCATGCTAGAGAATACCCAGCATATGACAAAGAATGGTTTCCCTATAATATGGGTTATTGCCAGAAAGGTAAAGTTTAATGGGTAGTATTGTTAGTTTATGTCTACACGGTCCTTTTCAGATCTCCTACATATTAATATTAGGTTGTCTAGTGAGAGAGTTATAGGCGGTGCATTTGGTTAGAAATGATCATTATTAATCAATTCAAATCTCTTTGTTGGTAAGTAGGTGAAACAAAAGTATTCAGTAAAAATTTATAAAAGAAAAACTAAGATATAGGCTTCCAGCCGATTTTCTTAAATAAGTATGATTTGATCATGCTACTTTTAGAGAAGAAAAAAGTTCTTCGGTCAAGTTATTCTTCTTCCTTCCTGAGCACAAAAGAAAATTTTAGATTGTGAAAGTAATATTAAAATATATTCTAGCCATGCTGTTGTGTGGTTTATATGCTTATAGCACTTGTTTTCCTTTAGGGTCCAATGTAACATATGACAATTCAATGAACATGAGAAATATTCTCTGGCTTGCCCCATTGCCAAGGAACTCCACAAAAGGTTGGCTGGCCCCAGGTACTTTGTTCAACTCTTATTCGATTTAGCTGATGTTACTGAAATGTAAATGAAGAATCCATCCCTTATCGATTTTGTTTGATTTCGCCTTGTTCTTGATGTACCAGGAGTGTTGGTTGTGCTGGATGCTCGCCCTGACGGAATTATATACAGAGATCTCATACCAGAGTATGTGAATTTTGCGAGGACCATATATGAAGGTTTGTGTCAATCATTTACTATTCACTTCACCGAGTTGTACATATATACACTGTTATTCCTCAAATTTTAATTTGTAAAGTTTTTAACAAAAGAAAAGTTACTGGATACTTGCCAGATGATCTGGGGAATGTTGCGGTTGATGTCAACTACTTGAACGTTGGGCAAACAGTGCCAGATTACCAAATTTTCATTTGCTGATCTCTTTCTCAAAGTGGGCAGCAGCTCTGGCGTCAAGCTTTACTGTACAGTAAACCCGCCATAGTAACGATTTTTGGTATTGGTGTAGTAACGTTATCGGATCAATATTATGGAATTTGCCTTGCTTTACAACTTACAAGCCTTTTTTGTGTTGTGCAAATTGGTTTACCACTTGTTCCAATAGCTCTAGTTTCTGAAATATTTGTCAATAATTGTTTCGAATTTGTTTACCATTTGAAAGAAAATTAGAGTTATCAAGGCTCCGTTTGGTTCAAGATTGGGAATACTATTCTTGGTATTCCCAAAAAAGTTAAACAGTAAAATACCCAAAATCNGGGGGGGGGGGGGGATATAGATTTATGAACATGCCTCAAAATTGACAAATCAACCCTTTCTCGTTTCTCATTTAGCATATTTATCAAAATCACTAAACTCTCATTTACTCATGCATCTCATGTTAATCTCAACTAACATATATAAGTCAAGAACATACCACATATGTGCTTATAAATCATGCATATATGCCATAATATTCAAAAATCACATCCAGGGGTGAAATTGGAAATTTCCAAACATGTTTCAAAACTGACAGTTTAACCCAGATTAAAAATTAGTTCAACATCACATTACCATAGCATATGTCCAACACTAATCATAAGATATATATACCACATTTCATATAAAAGCAAATCATGCCAAAACGTATGAAATTCCATGCAAAATGGGGGTAGAATGCAAGTTTTAAAACATACTTTCAAAGCTGACGAATGCTCCCCTTCTCTTTTTTTTTTTTTTACCAAGAACCCATTTAACAATTTAACAGCGAGCCTCAACACTCCGCATTATTAAAAATCTGCACTAATCCTCCCTTTAATTGTGCATTTCCTCTCTTCCAGATTTTTCAACAAGACAAGACAATTAATGATAAAGACACATGCATGTTTTTGACAAAAATAAAGGAAAAAGCACATTTAAAACTCACTTACTGCACACGTCAACATCCCTTCTCTAACTACTCACTTTCTTCCTTTTTACCAACCATTACATTCATCTCTACCCAGGTAAGACTACGTTTCCAAGCCTTTGACAAGCAAAGCTTACCCAAAACTCAACTCAGTTGACAACCTCTCAATAACCCAATACACTTTCCAGCCAAATTATCTTAACTCCCATCATTTTAAAACAGCATTCAATCTATTATCACAAAGACATTCCAGTCGATTACATGTAATCAAAGTATCCAGCCACCATCACAATTTAGTGAAACAACCAAATGCATGCAAATTCAAATAGCAAGCAAATCATCCACTTTAAAATCTGTCCGAAAACATACAGAGAAGGTAAATCAAGCAAGCTTCACATTTAGCTCAAACCTCATCAAAACACAACCATGGCATACCACAATTAACATGCAAGCATAGATCTGAAATATTTTTTAAGGAAAGTTTTCATTAAATCCACTCACCATTCAGCTCAACCAAACTTCCAGCAAGCTTCCAACATTCCCCCCTCCCCCCCCCACCCCCCCCCCCCCCCCCTCCAATCCCGAGCTTAGATCTGGGTTAATCTTGCTCGGTTTTTGCTCTCTCCACCGATTCCAGATCACTCTCACTCCTCTGGCTGAACCTCACACTCTCTTCTTTCTTTTTTTTTTTTTTTTTTTTGTTTTTTTTCTCTCTTTTCTTCCTCTCCGTGTTTTCTTCTCTCCCAGTCTCCTCTTCCTTCATCTGGGCGAAAATCAGCCTTTTTATATTTTAGTCTTTCTAGAATTAGCTTCTGCCCCTAGATTACAGATAATTCCGGTAAACCCTGCCACATCAGCTTTTCGTTCAAAAACCTCCAGATTTTGCCCCTTGTTACATGCAAACCCAGCAGCTCCTTTCTTGCAATTTCATTCCCAATAAACTTTTAAAAACTAACAGAAATGCCCTTCCATAAAAATAAAATCACAAAGAATAGGTAATATATATTAATTAATAAAAAAAAAAAACGGGGTTTCACAATTGACTTGTTTTATCTTCCATTGTTATTTGAGCGTTATTAGTTATTACTGGTAAATTCCTGTGAATATTTCTTTATTGTATCTGCAAATATCTTCGATTCAGTTTCTTCTGCTTGCATAATCTCATCTCAAATTTAGATTTGTAGCCCAGATGGGAAAATTGTACGTCTTGTTGGTTCGAGTTCACATTTCTAGTATAAGCTTGCTTACATTAATAGATCTGCTTTCTCTAGTTATCTTTTCCATTTTGATGTGAATATATATTACACCTTGCTTCTTTCAGGGTATGGACATAGCTATTTCAGAGTTGAATGGTGGTGGGTGGGTTCACATCTTCCCAGAAGGCAGTCGTTCGGGAGATGGTAGGGAAACCATTGGGTCTTCCAAGAGAGGTGTTGGGAGGTAAGAATTTGTTGCGAGATGTGTTATTTTTATTATGTACTTGTCGAAGAGGAGGGTCCCAATGTTGTTTCATGTGCTTAACATTATTCTTTTGCTAATGAGACATTTTGGAACTATTTAATTCTGCTTTCTGTTGTGTGATTTGCTCCACTTTTTCCTTGAGTGGATTATATTTAACAGTTGTATGTTATAATGTTAATGCTCAATAGGTTAGTCCTAGATGCTGACAACGTACCAATGGTTGTCCCATTTGTGCATACTGGGATGCAGGAAGTCATGCCTATTGGTGCTACCTTTCCAAGGATTGGCAAGACAGTAAGTAGTCCTTCTTGCTGTTGCATAGAAAGTTCTCTAACTCCATTTTAGTTAATTGCTGCAATAGATGTTCACATTTGGTGGATTGAAATAAAAGTCTCTGTTTTTTCAATCTTATTTATTCAACGTGCTGAAAAAAAGAAAAAGAAAAGGATGGTAATTGATTTTTGATTGTATGGTCACCAAATTCATTTTCTGCTCTTTATCAACCCTCCCTCTCTTTCTGAAGGTCGAGAAACACTACAGTTGCCTTTATGTAGGAAGTAGTTTGATACCATTGTACCATGTGGCTTGTAAATTAATAATGGTGATGCTGATACTTTGCTGAGGATCACTGTTATTCAATAGTCTAACCTTTTATTGACCTTTTCCGGGCCCACTTTCTGAATCATTCTTCTGCCCTATATGTTTTTTTTTCTAATTTTATAACTTCTAAACTATTTCATACGCCCAAATTTTGTAGGTAACTGTACTTATCTGTGACCGATCGAGTTTGATGATTTGCTTAATGAGGAACAAGTAGAAAATGTATCAAGAGGAAAGCTTTACGATGCTGTAGCTTCAAGGATTGGTCATCGACTGCAACAGTTAAAAGTCCAACTGTCCAAGTCGACAGACTAGCTCTTGAGCAACCAACTGCCGAACGTGCAGCTGAGATCCTGCAACAGTTTGACTGGGAACCATTCGGCATCCGGAATCACGCATTAATATTTATTTATATTCTTATGATCAGTGTTATGAAAATGGGACCGTTTGATTGGGAACCGGCGTCATCTTCGGCCTGGTTTCTCTTAAAAACTGGTATTTTTAATCAAACTGGATAGAGTAGCGGTTGGACCATCGAATAATGTCAAATCGTGGCCCAATTGCGAGTCAATCTCGTGGGATTCCGGCATCATTCAAGGGAGATAACACCACCATAAGACTTGATGGCATCTCTATGACAAAACCCATCTATTTTCAGTGGCCGCCATCTAGTCTTTCGTCACTTGCCATCCACCTATCGTTCACACAACCGTCGGCCTTCCTTCTTGATTCCGGCAAATTCTGACGCCATTAGAACTCTCTAATACCACCATAACATTTGTTATCACCTCTACATAAAAAACCCCATCATTTCAAACTTCGATTGACCGTCGATCGCCATCCACCTATTGTTCATGCCACCGTCGATCTTTTTTCTTGATTCTAGCAAATTTCGATGCCGATAGAACTCCTTGACACCACTATAAGATTCGTCGGCACCTATACATCGAAAGACCCATGATTCCAAAATTCGATTGGTTGTCAATCGTCACTGCCACCACCACTCACCAGTCTCTTCATGCAACAGTAGGGATGGGCATAAAGCCCAGCCCCACGGGGACCTGTCCCGAACGGGGCAGATTTCCCCAAATTTTTTGGGCTTCAGGCCTAGATCGGGCCCAAGATTGGCCCCCGGAATTCGGGGACGGGCCGAGGCTGGGATAGGTTTGCCCCGCCCCGTCCCCAACCCATATTTTATATATATACAGTAAAACCTCTCTATAGTCATAATGGTGGGACTAACTAATTTTATTACTATAAAGAAGTTATAACTTAATAGATGTATAGTTACAAAAATTTCTTATTTTATAATTCATGTTTTTGTAGTACAATATTAGGATTTCAATTAATGTTTTAACAGTATTAGGATTTCAATTCAGCACTTCAATTGCTTACTTTTGAAACTGATAGAAGATTTTGTCTTGGAACCAATAAAGATAAGTGTTCTTGATGAAATTGTAAATGCAATTGTTGCATGGTCAAAATAATTTGAAGTCATAGACAATTGCCAATTATTTTAAGCATTACAAAATCAGGACCCCCGATGTCAATTAATTGCAAGTTACAAATAAAGTGGATAAAGAGAATCAAAGAATCATAGTAGAATGGAGTGATCAGATTTGACAACTTCACTACACTAATCGAATGGATATTAATGTCTTCCTCAATTATCCAAATGAGCAANTAGTCTACTGTTATTTTTGTTAGGTTAATCTTTATGGTTTGGTGATTACTTTAATACTGAGTTATGGAATATTATTGTCTATGAAGTTTAACGGATATTACATTTTTTTTTTTTTTTAAGTATTTGTTTATGATTTGTGTTATTATTATTAGATTGATTCTAAAGCAGATACGTGAAAAGATAGTTAGAAGAAAAAAAATAAAGGTTAACATGTAGCTTTCTGAACTCGAACTTGTGATACATCAGTTTATTTTTTATCTTTGTTTGGTTTGTGGTGTGGAAAATCTGATATAAGATCTGGTTACACGTTGAGAATCTTGCTTACAAAAAGTTGTTAGGGTATGGAATTTTCATTTTTTTATTTTCATAACTCAGAAATGCGCCTAATCCATATGGTGAATGTGAGTTCAAATTTAGGTCTTGTGGAATCCTAATGTGGAAGTGGGAACACAGTGACAATTGTGGATCTCTTTGAAGCTAAAGTTATTTGATGCATATAAATTTTACTTGTATCAGTCTTTATCTCTACATTTCTTGATATTCTTGTTTTGTAAGTGCAGGTGTTGGTAACATCATATGGTGAGCTTGATAAGAATAAGTATCTTGATCCGAGGACTGCGCAGGTTGCTATAGTTGACCATATTAAACAGGTAAGTTGTGATCTCTTTAAAGAATCCTGCACTTTTTATATTATAAGGTAGTGCAAAAGAATAAGAGTATTACTTATCTTAAGGAAAGGGGAAGCACTATTATTCCATTTCAGGATCTATGGTAAAATATGGAATCTTAATAAATAAATCAATGAAGAGAAAATATTAAATCAAAATGAGAAGTATACCATATTGAAAATTCATTAGTTGCTTACTATTCATTTTTGTTGAAGTAATGAGATGTGTATGTTGATGAGGAACTATATTTTTTGATTGCCCATTTTTTATGTCATGTTGTGCTAAATTGGTTCAGGTTTGTACAGAAGTGAGACCTGCAGCTGATGAGGAACTTCCTTCTCCATATATTGAGGAATTCCGGTATGCCTTATTATTCTCTTATATAGATGTTTTCTGAATTGCTTTGTACTAGTTCTGTTTAAATTGTATGAAATTTAAAATTAAGGCAAGAAGGTAGGCGTCCAAATTATTACATGTGTTATATTATTTGCTTCTCACTGTTATTGCTTCTATTTAGTTCACATGCCTTTTTGCATTTCTTCAACTAGCCTTTCTGAACTCAAATTGTCAAAAGTGTTTGGTCTGAAATCTTACTATCTGGAGGTTTTGTAAATTCAGACTTATGTTTGTTGTGCAACCATGATTTTGTGAATGTTGATTTTTTCCTAACCTATTGTTCCTTCAGCTCCATGTTGGCATGTCTGCAATCCAAGCTTATGTGCCAAATATTATGTATGTTCCTGAGGTTTATTTACTAAAAGGCTGTACTCTTACGTGCTTGACCAAGTTGTGGCTAATCTTTTATTTTGCTAGGTATGCTCTGGATGCAGAAATACTTAGATATGTTGGTGAAGCTTATCCAAAAGGTGTATGTTCAGTTTATTGTACAAAGGGAAAAGATGTGGAAGGAGCAGGATTTGGTTTTGAGCTTCTTGTGGTGATTTCTGCTGCCAAACTTAGCCCACAGAACTTTTGGTGTGTAAAATCTATCCAATCATAGTAATTGTTTGATACTCTTACTTCGGCACTGTGGTTAGCTTTGGGAGATTTTATACCATGTAAACACCTACTTGTGTGGGTGTCTCTTTCATATTATTAATTAATATTATATCTATCAGTTACAAAAGATAAACATCTTTTATTAATCTTTACATTATTTTACTGGAATATGAACAGCAATGGAAGTTGGCGGTCAATTTGGAACATTGAGTTCAACGATGATGCACAAGTGCTTGAAGTAACAGGCAAGTTGCAGGTATTTGTAACGATTTTGTGTTTTTCATTACATATTTGTGCCTTTTCCTTTTCTAATTCTCCTCAATTCTCATCCACGTGCTTATATATGCCTATACTTTGTTAATTCTTCTTGTTTTCAGGTGGGTGCCCATTATTTTGAAGAGGGAAATGTGCAGTTAGATGCAAAACATGAATGCAAAGATACAACAATTTTTCAGGTCAGGTCACAAAACTTACGCGTACATGATCACATCCTATTTATGATGTACCCCTTCTGTCTTTATAAGAAAAAACTAAAATTCAGGCAAAGTACTCGATTGTCCAAGTCAGTTAATGCAAGTGCATGTAACTTATTTGTGTGAGAGCTAACTAAGTGGTAGGATTTGCTAGATTTAGTATTAGTAGAACAGAAATACTTTTCCAATAAAAAAACTTCCAGAGACATACGATTTTCGCTTTTCGCAGACCCATGCTTATATTTTCCACAACATTATAGTTGAGCATTTTGTATAAATTTATTGTATGAGAACGGTATACCTTTTCTGTTACTTTATCTCATTATTTTTGTTTTATTTGTCTCAGTCCCCTGATGACTCTGCAATTTCCATAGCCCACATTATACGCCATCATGAGACAGAGTATCTGGCATCTCTAGAGGTTCTCGTTATGCCTCTTTTCTTTTTCAAATATTTGAATTTGTCAGTTTTTACTTAACATTTTACATTAACAGGCATCCTACTCAAATCTGCCAGATAACACATTCAAGGTATTATCTTGTTTGAGGACTATCTTTACTTAAATCCCAAAAGATTCTACCTAGGTTAAGCGGCCTGTGATTGATGATGCTTGTTGGCCCATTGTCCTCAAATTGTTTCTTTTTACTGCTATTAGCTGACTCAAACTAATAAAGGTTGCATTTTCTTTGTAATATGATGTGATAGCTAAGAAGTAAATTCATTTCTAGTACTAGAGTCATCTAATCCCTTAATATCGTGATGCAGGATCTTCGAAGGAAACTTCCCGTTACTCGTACCCATTTCCCTTGGCATAACACTACACAATTCAGCCTTACAAGAGAAATCTCAAAAGAACTCGGAATTGGAAAGTGAATATTACATCATCTCAAAAACCTAGCCATTATCTTGATGTGTAAAATTGAGTTAGTGAGTTTTCTTCCTATTGAAGATTTGCTTTCTTAAACATCATATTAATTCTTGGGAGAGTTTAGTTCCTCCCCCTTCCTCACCTCAAATTTGGTCATTTCGCCATTTTCCATCAATTGTTCTCTGTCAATAGTGTTCTCAATTTTGATGTGTAGTTTTTGTATCGTGTTACTGACGAGTCGTATCGTGTATAGTAGTAATTTTTTTTTTCAATGACATTATTTTTCCCTTTTGATGTTTGTAAAGTTTGTGATCTTAATGTACTTGTAGACTCTGTTTGCCTGGTATATCCTAAAATTATTTTGTCGTTTGTTTCCTTCGAAGAGTTTGTGGGATGCCCATTTGATTTATTGTGCTTCATTTAGAGCTATGAATTAGGGTTTTCATGCAAAAAAGCAAAGCTATGAACAAATGCTTGTTTTAGTAATTTATAATTGTAAGTTTTGGGTTTTAGTTAATTTATTTTAGTAATATTATTGATTTGCGATGAGATCAATCATGATTCAAGAGTTGAGATAGTGTTAAACCCGTCTAATTAATTCATCGTACCTATGATATGAAGAAACTGGCTCAGGTAATGAAGGTATCGCAAAAGAAAAAAAAAAAAAAAAGATTATAAAAATCTTTGAAAGACAGAACCAAAAAGAATAAAAATATTATAAAAAAGACAAAGAAATAAAATAAGATCTTTCATATTTAAAATTTAAAGAAATAAAATAAAGATATTTAAAAATAAAAAAAATAAAGATAAATCAAAAAGAAAATTTAAAAAATTTCCGTTGCCGGGAATCGAACCCGGGTCTCCTGGGTGAAAGCCAGATATCCTAACCGCTGGACGACAACGGAACTTGTTATCTCAATTGAATTAAATTTTTTATAAATTTAGTTAGTATTAACAGAAGGACTTTATTGGAATTACATAAATGTTAAAAAGCACCCTATGGTTTTATTTATATCGTTACCATAAATTCCAAATCCTAAATCCCGTAGGAAACCTTCTCCGCCTCCTTCAACCAGAGCAACTCAGAACCAGAGCAGCTAATAAGTTATGGAATCCGCAGGGTAAGTATTTGTACATTATTTTCACTAAGTTCCCTCCTTTTCACCCATATAAATCCTTTTCTTCCTCTTTCTTTTTGAATCCTTTTCTGGGTTTTCCTATTATTCGCAACTGGGAGTTCAAGTATTTTTGCTTTGCAGATAAGTTTTCGAACGATCAAGTGTCCAGTTTTTTAGGTTGATATCACCTGCATTTGTCAGATTTCAATGGTCTTAGTAATATTTGCCTGATTTTTTTTTTTTTTTTAAAGTTTTTAGGGGGTGAAGTGAGATTTTGAACCGTTGTAATGTGAGCCTCAGCCTCATGTTGGTTGTTGAGGATGAGGAATTGACGGAATGTGGTATTTGTGAAACAAAATGGTGAAAGTGATATTATTACAAACTTACGGAGGGTTTTGATTTTATTTTAACCTTTGGGGGTCTGTATACTGTAATAAACTGTATGGGGTGAAAGTTATTATGACATTGAAGGGATGAATTTGTAGTAGTATCGATCATTTTGAAATGATAAAGATGTCCTGTCGTAGCTAATGTCCTGTTGTAGCTATCTTTTGCAAATGACGTATTTTTTTATGGTCAAAGCCTGCAAGAGTTGATTCTCATGTTATATAGAAATGGATGAAAATTTCAACTGAAGCACCATGATATTAAAGATTTTATCTGGGATGATGTAGCTTAGCCAAATCAGACACCATTCATGTGCTCCTTAAGGCATTTTGTCTTTAAAGCTTGAATTTTTATGGGTATTGTAGAGGCACATTAATGGTTTCTTGTGTACCCTTTTTCAAGCTCTAGATTGATTGCCTTTTGTCGAAGCGCATCTCTGTGATGATTACTTAGAGATGGGTTTTCGCTGGCTGACCAGAGTCAAATCAGTATATTCTTGTTTTATAGCTTACTAGTATTAATGAAGTTAAGAGCTGCTTAAGTTTAGTTTCTGGTAATTTTATTTAAATCATTTGAAGGTGAATGCTTATCATGGATCTCGGATTATATTAAGTCCTCGTTAAGTCACATAGAGTGATGTACTTTTGTGGCACTATTTGATTGTTGGATAGTTTTACATGCCAAATTATGATTTATAACTCTTGTTGTTTGCTTGAATATCTGCAAGCTGTATCTGTATTTTTGTTATAAGATTCAGTTCACTCTAGTTGGTAAGACTGGGATTGGCCTCAAAAAGTTTTTGAGATGTAATTGTTCCTGTCCTTTCCAGGTATTGATATACTTACTAGAGTTTTACCATTAGTAAAGCTCAAGTTTATTGAGTTTCAAACAGAAGTGAGTGAGATTGTGCTCAGGAAAATTGGCAATTTCAGTATCAAGGATTAGGCCATTCCTGCACAAATTGTTCCGGAGCTAGAGCTGCTTCCCTGATGAGTCCATGGCAGGATGAAACCAGTAGAGCTCAAGCTGATGAATAGCATACGTGGAGGCTTACCCCTTATCAAGTGTGATGTTGGGGTGCTGCACAGGCCGTTCCGCTGCGTTGAAACTCTAGGCCCTTGACAAAAGATAAGGGCACAAGAGGGCTTGCAGTAAAAAGTGGTGAGAATTTTGCTTTCATTCTAACCCATCTGTGATGAGTCACAACAAATACTTTGGTCACCAGCTGAATGAATTCAACAAAAACATTTTTTCTATCATTACAAAAACATAAACTGTGTCTTCAGTTGAATGGCCCATGCTCATCTTTCCACTTCATTTCCTTGTCAAGCTTGAAATACGGGAAGCCCCAGCAGTCAGCACAATTTCATACACAATTGTTTCCCTATATGTGGTTATGGTAGATGATACATTATAAAGAGTGCAGAAGTCATTATGTTGATGTGTATCTAAGCGAAATGCATCTTTGTTTTTTATGCAGCACGAGAGCATGGACTTTTTGTGTCTATTATCAGCACAAAATTCAGTTATAGACACTACAGAATGAAAAAAATTGCCTTTGCTCGCTCGGGGGGAAAACCAGAGAAGAAATGTTATCCCAGATAAAAGATTCGGCATTCAGCCTCTACTTTTTGATTTATTTTTTAATCATTATGGTCTTCCACATGAATTCCTCTTGTATAGATTAGCATAGATAAAATTGTTCTTTAATATCTCGTTGCTGATTTGTTGTATATCCTATATAGATTAAACAATGTGATAGGGGTTTTATTACTGAACTTGACAGTCAGTACAGAAGCCATTCATTTTTCCTTCACTTTGTCTCAACTGTGAGGAAATGAACTTCTGCCATTGTCAATGTAATTGAAGCAATTGAGATTATTTATTCTAATTAAACCAAGTATCTTAGGGAGAATCACAAAAAGGGTCATTTATTTCTTGAAATATAAGAAAGAGAAACCAAGTTATCTTTCTCTCGTGGTCGGGTGACAGCCTTTTAGCTATTGGGTTAATTAATTCAGGGGTCTGTGGACAAGCTTGATTGACAATTGTGGCTGGCGGATGCCTCACCTATGAAAAGAAAAAAAGAAAAAAAAAAAGAGAAAACAAATTTTGGATATAGATAGAAAAAGGGTCACTTAATAGTAAGCCTAAATTATTGACCTTAAATTTTCATTAACATTACTCAATTTAGAAATCGTATAGTTGGCCATATTTTATAAAAGGGTCAATTATTTTAAGGAAAATGGAAGTGAATTAGTGAATAACAAAACAGAAATTACATAAAAACGAAGTAGAACTGTAGAAGAAACTTAATAAGGTTGACAGTATCATTTTTAGATTCTTTTGTATCAATGTGTTACTTTGAGAAACCTCAGGGATTAAAAAGAGCTTCCCTACCCCCTTTATTCTTACTAGGACAAAAGACTGCTGAAGTTTGAAGCTGACTTAACTAGTTAGGTGTGCATTATTGCTCAGTTTCAGTTCATCTTTAACTTCTTAAAATCTTCATCTTTTCTCGTTAAGACAAGAGGGTCCAAAACCCAGAAAGTTTTTTCCTTTTGAATGGCGGAAATCAAAGCCGAACCGAGTCACCACCACCCTCTCATCATTTCCCAACCCGATATCTCGGACCCACAAAAGCCTCATATCAAAACAAAGCGTCTCGCTTCACTAGATATCTTTAGAGGCCTAACAGTGGCGGTATGTTATCTCCAATCTCTCTTGAAACTCGGTCTTTCAACTTCAATTTGCACCTTTATTATGATTTTTCTTTTATGTGGGTTGTTTTGTAGTTGATGATTTTGGTGGATGATGCTGGAGGAGAGTGGCCCATGATTGGTCACGCTCCTTGGAATGGCTGCAACTTGGCTGATTTTGTCATGCCTTTCTTCTTGTTCATTGTGGGTGTGGCCATTGCTCTTGCTCTCAAGGTTGGACCTTGGTTTATGTTTTCATCTTTTTATTTAATGCAAAGGGTAATAGATAACTAGAAGATAGATAGATGGCTTCTATATTAAAGTAATATTAGTGAATACTAGTAATTATATTTGATAAATTTGTAAGCTCTGAAACTAATCACCTTATGCATAAGAAACTGTTCGAATATTTCCTTCAAGAGTTATTTTGGTGTGTTTTGGTTAGTATGTAACCAGGATTTAGTGACCATAAACGATTTTTCAGTTACCAGTGTATGTAACTACTTTATATGCTGTAATTGCTAAAACATTGTTTTATACTACTTTAGATGTTACCCGTCGCAGTATCGTTGAATTATCTGTTCATTCAACTATGTAGTATAACACACTCACAGTTGTTTGTTTGTGACATGTAAAATGTATTGCTTTAGACAGATTCTTTATAGACAGGGTGTAGTTCAAATGATTAATTAGCAACTTTAAGACCTGTCCAAACTTGGATTCTTTTGTTATTTTAGATAGGATATATAATAGTTTAAATAGGCTACTACTTGAGAACATGTTCTATGTAGGTCTTAGTGTAGTTACTGTTGTGGTTGATTCCTTATGTTATTTCAGTTAATTTGATTTCTTTGTTGCAAATCTTGTTGTAGAGAATACCGAGCCGGCTTGAAGCTGTGAAAAAGGTGATTCTTAGAACTTTGAAACTCCTATTTTGGGGCATCCTGTTACAAGGTTAGTTTCATTTCCAAATACTCTGCTTGGTTGCATTTTTGATGTTCAATGTTGCCATATAGTGCTACCATGTTTACGCTTTCAAGAGTGTTTTTGCTTTCTTGTAGCCAGTGAATGACATTTTGTTGGAAATCATGTGTTTTGCCACATTCCTGTTTCTGTGTAATAATATTGCACAATAGATGGTAATTGATAGAGAACTGCATTGCTCATTGCGATTTATGTGGTAGTTGTCCGATGCAACCACTGCTTTCTGAGATGATCGAAGCTTAGGTGCTTAGCTGAATGTATTATTGTTGTGGCCTGAAGCCCATTTGTAGAGCTTTTGAAATTATGGCAAATGCAGCACTTTATGTTCAGTTACATCTTTTCAACTTGGCAAAGTTTGTCATGGAATCATATGTCATGTCAACAAATTCTTCCATATTAAACCATTACTTAAAAAAACATTTCTTTGATGTTAACTTGCACCTTATCTTATGAAGGTGGTTTCTCTCATGCTCCTGACAAATTAACATATGGGGTTGACGTAAAAATGATAAGGTGGTGTGGCATTCTACAGGTAACGTTTGTCTAAATTCTTACATACTTAACATTTTTTGAATGTGTATATTTATTTGAATGAATGGATCTGTGCAGTAATTGAGTTTACTGTTTCTAGAGAATAGCTCTTGCGTATTTGATAGTGGCAATGGTGGAAATCTTTACAAAAGATGCACAAGACAAGAATCAATCACCTGGGTGTTTCTCGATATTCAGGTTATACTGTTGGCACTGGTGAGTTCTTAATTCTATTATTTTCTCTGATTGATGATAATGCCCATCATACTGTAGAACAAACGTTAACACCATCTTCTCAATTTGCAGGTTGGTTGGTGCATGTGTACTAATCATTTACTTGGCCATTATCTATGGAACATATGTTCCTGATTGGCAATTTACTATTCATGACAAGGATAGTGCCGATTTTGGGAAGGTTTTCAATGTAAGTCCCTGGATTCCCATAATTGATATTATAGAACCTTATAATCTATCTTCAAATGATACTGGTATACCCTAGTATTCAAAATTAGATGTTATATTTTTATCATGGTATAAGTTTATAATTCATATGATCTACCATCAGCCTGGAGGTATAACAGAGTAAATGAAGATGAAATAATATAGTGTTTCTCTTCTGAAACTTTATTACTTCTTGATATACATCAGGAAACATTTCCTTGTCAAATTTAATCATTTTCGTGAAGGTTGCATTTCTTCTGTTTGATGGTGGGTCCAAGCGATGGTACTAAAACTCACAATGTTAGGATTTCTATTCAATTCTTCATTGTTTTGAATTTTAGGTGAGCTGTGGTGTGAGTGGAAAACTTGATCCTCCATGTAATGCTGTGGGATATGTTGACAGAAAAGTCTTAGGGATCAATCGCATGTATCATCATCCAGCATGGAGGAGATCTAAAGTGGGTAGCAAGCATACAGAACATCTCTTTAGATTTGAGGTTACTAGTTTATGGACGTGGTAGATCTCAATCACAAGTTTTTAATAATTTCTGTAGTGCCACAGGCTTGTACTCAAGATTCTCCATATGAGGGGCCTTTAAGGAGTAATGCTCCATCTTGGTGTCATGCACCTTTTGAACCTGAAGGAATCTTGAGGTTTGTTGTACATCATTTTCACTTTATTTGCACTTCATATTAATTTTAACAAATTAGCAAAAACCTGTGGTTTTAATCAGTGGACCGTGGGGGAATTGCTGGTACTATATATCTACTACCGCTGATATAATATACCAAACCATTATAGAGAAAAATGCTGTCATGCTGAGAGACTTGAACTCTCCCCCAACGACCATTGTATTAGAGCATTGCTTTCATATCTTTACATGCATGATTTTATTTTATACAGCTTGAAGCTTAGGAGTGTTAGTTAAAGTCCTTGGTGAATACAACTCACCAATTATATGTTGAACTCCGTAAATCTTGTGAAAATGTATTTGACTGAATATATGAACTTAATACTACTATTTGCAGCTCCATATCTGCTATTCTCTCTACAATTATAGGTGTACATTTTGGACATGTGCTTATACATTTGAAGGTTAGGCCAACTTTTCTTGTTAAAATATTGATGGCTTTAAACAGTAGGTATTGATTTATTTTCCTGATGAATTTTTTGTTATAGGGTCATTTAGCTAGACTCAAGCATTGGGTCTTGATGGGACTCAGTCTTCTCATTTTGGGGCTTACTCTACATTTCACACATGGTAAGCATGGAAGCATGAAATTCTTCATAAATTTTGTTAAGGAAATCAATTTCTATTCATCTATTCTAATGTTTTTGTTTTCTTATTGCAGCTATTCCTTTGAATAAACAGTTGTACACTTTTAGCTATGTTTGTGTAACATCTGGAGCAGCTGCATTGGTTTTTTCAGCCATCTATGCCCTGGTATGATGGTCTATGTATAACTGTGATAGCTCCCAACTATATTTGTTGATGGCTATGTAAGGATCCATAAGAATCTGAAAACACTCTATTTAAACCGGGCAAAAAAGCCACATAATATAGTAAACTGCCTAACCTTATTTGAAGGAACTGACTATTTCGTCTTTGAAGACTCACTGACTAGGTGTTCTGATGTCAGTGACTCGGTAATAGTGACAGATGCATTTATTTGTTAGTTTCATACTTTGTTGTGCATATTAGATAGTGGTCAGTTCACCTACAGCCATACGCTCTTTCAAGATTTGCAGAGGCATGAGAGATTGACTGCACCATTTTTTGGCCATACAAACGGACGGTTGTTATATTCTTTTAACTACAATGCTCTGTTGATCTAAATATTCTGTTATGTCAGGTTGACATTTGGGAATTAACGTTCATCTTTCTGCCATTGGAGTGGATTGGCATGAATGCTATGCTCGTTTATGTAATGGCCGCTGAAGGCATCTTTGCAGGTTTCATTAACGGGTGGTATTATGATGACCCACATAATACACTGGTGGGTTTCCTTGTCAACGCATTATATGTTTACGTTCATTTTGAATTCAAGATTTACAGCATCTAACAAGATTCTAATTCTTCGCTCAAGCTTAAGGAATGGATATCATCATATCACAGCATTGCTCTTGATCTATATTTAGATTTTCATTGTCCTGTAGGAATACCATAAATTTCATTGGAAGGTTCAGAAGGTCTTGCATGATACCATTTGATACTTCCATGACCAAATTCTTTTTCTTTTCAGCGTTCCTTCATCTTTTCATCATCCATTGATGTTGTTGCATTAACATCCTAATATTTACCAGAGGATTGATCTAATCTGTGGCAGGTTTATTGGATTCAAAAGCACGTTTTCATTGGAGTTTGGCATTCACGAAGAGTAGGCATGCTACTTTATGTTATCTTTGCAGAGATCCTGTTCTGGGGTCTTGTCGCAGGCATTTTCCACCGTTTTGGTATCTATTGGAAGCTTTAGTAGCTCGTTTTTGACATACATGTATATATGTATTCTTATATTTGGAGAGCGAAGCTACTGATTTTCATTCATAGATTATGTCAATTTGCTTCAGTGTACCAATTATGCATACCGAATGGACTTAATCAGTGTTCAATGCTATCAAAATAAAGGGAAATATTAAACATACCAATTATGCATATCGAATGGATATCTCGACTGACGTGGAGTGTGACGTGAGTAGTTTCCATCACGATTATGTTGCACTCTACGTCCGTTAGGATGTTCATTTGGTATGTAGAATGGGTAAGTATAATCTTACCCCAACAAAAGTGATGATTTTAATGACTTTCTGAAACATCAAGCATCAAGGTAGTCGAGATAGTTCTGAAGAGGTTTTGATAAATGGTTTTAAAATAAATGGAAAAGAATATTTAAGTAAGTATCGTTAAGAATGGTTTAAGTCCCTTGAGATTTCATCAAATGATAAAATTCCCCTGAAGTTTAATGGCTTAGTAATCACAGGAGAATTTTGTATTTTTTTAAACCTTAGGGATAGTTTTAATATTTAATAAAACCGCAGGGGACAGGGATCATGATAAGGCCCAAATTACAAAAGTCCGGCTCAAACTATAAAGCCCAGGCCCATCTTCAAGTACATATGCAGCTCCCATGTTCGGGTCAAAAATATCCAGTCCAGGCCCATCTTCAAGTCATTATAAAGCACTGAAGCGAACCTCTTTTCTTCGGAAACAAGTCGAACTCTTTTATCATCTCTCTGTGTTAAAGTCTCTGCTTTGCTTGAAATTCATCGGCGATCATAATGGCGACGGCGATGGTAGAAGACTCGTTCGAAGATGACCAGCTGGCCTCCATGACCACGGACGACATCGTCAGAGCTTCTCGCCTTCTCGACAACGAGATTCGCGTGCTCAAGGTCTCAGATCTCTACTTTATCAAATTACTCGCTCTCCGTTTCTCTTGTATTTGTTTTAATATTTCCTCCGGTTTCGCTAATTACGCGGATAATTGTGACTATATAATATATATGTGTATTTATCAATTATATTGGTTTTGTTTTATCCATTTTTCGTGTTTAATTGTTATAATTTAGGGCTTTTGTGTTCTGCACTTTTTTGTTAGTTGTTGTTGTCCAGTTGTGTTGTTTTGCATGTGTAATTTGTTTGCTTTATGGTTGTGTTCTTCTCTTTTTAGTTAATTCTGCTTCCAAATGATTTATTTCATTAGTGAGCGAGCAAAATTATGCTTATTGATTATATATAAGGCCTGGATTTTGTAGGTATATTGTTGTGCCTATGGTTTTTGTGATGGAATTGAAATGTATCTTAGGAAATATGAAGAAAGGTTTTGATATGTGTTGTGCAAATGTCGGTTTTAATGTGCGTGTTTTGTTTGGTTTTAGGAAGAGTTGCAGAGAACGAATCTTGAGTTGGATTCGTACAAGGAGAAGATAAAGGAGAATCAGGAGAAGATTAAACTTAATAAGCAGCTTCCTTACTTGGTGGGGAACATTGTTGAGGTAATTTCCTGTTACTCCCTTTCTTACCATGTTTGTTTATATGAGATGAGTAAGCTATGAGCCTATCGTTTGTGGGTGCAAACAAAGATCAAAGGTTCCCTTGGTTAATTTTTGTGGCAAATTTACATGTGGCACTTCACTGAAGCAGGTTTTTACTGGGATTTCAGTTGAGTTACTGGGAGTGTAACTTCTAGGATTATTCAGAAGAAAATAGTAGATTTATGGTTGGACTGGGCTTTATTTTTAGTCTGTTTATGTCTCCAGATTTTGGAAATGAATCCAGAAGATGAGGCTGAGGAAGACGGTGCCAATATTGATCTTGACTCACAAAGGAAGGGTAAATGTGTAGTGTTGAAAACATCTACTCGTCAGGTAAGACACAGATTTTTACATATGTTTTGTGTGTGTGTTTACTCATGTACGCAGCTAGTTAATTTGTGATTATTTAAAATGATTATTTGATCTTGAATGCAGACCATCTTCCTTCCAGTAGTTGGGCTTGTTGACCCAGATAAGTTGAAACCTGGTGATTTAGTTGGGGTCAATAAGGATAGTTACTTGATCCTGGACACACTGCCATCCGAATATGATTCCCGGGTGAAGGCAATGGAAGTTGATGAGAAACCAACTGAAGATTATAATGACATTGGAGGACTGGAGAAGCAGGTTAGTTTCTAACATGTGCTTCTTATGAACAATTAGTGGTGTTTGTTAACACCATATATCTTATGCCTTCTATTTTAATCGGGTTTGGGACAGATCCAAGAACTTGTTGAGGCCATTGTGCTGCCAATGACACACAAAGAGCGGTTCCAAAAGTTGGGGGTTCGTCCACCTAAGGGAGTGCTTCTATATGGACCTCCTGGTACTGGAAAAACTTTGATGGCTCGTGCTTGTGCAGCACAAACAAATGCTACATTCTTGAAGCTGGCAGGTCCACAACTTGTTCAGGTATGACATTCTTTTTTCATTTTCTTATACTTCAAATGATTTTTTTATTTTTTTTATTTTCAATTTGGATGCCATTCTTGGCTTACAATATGCTTTTGATGTGTTAAGTCTGACAGCTGGTGCTCTTCTTCAGTTTTTTATTTTACTAATTGTTTATATTAGGATGTGTGCAAGTTTTTTGTATACCTAACTGGCTCCATAATAAACATAATTTTGAATATTTCTAGATGTTCATTGGTGATGGAGCCAAACTGGTTCGTGATGCCTTTCAGCTTGCAAAAGAAAAATCACCTTGTATCATTTTTATTGACGAAATTGATGCCATTGGTACAAAGCGTTTTGATAGGTAAGTTGAATCTTCAAGGCATTACTATATCTTGAGGTGTGAAGACTTTGGTACATTAATGGGTTGGATTGGTGTCATTGAAGTTTATTCTTAAATGGCCTTTCTGATAGTACATCACTTTCATTGACTGCAGTGAAGTGAGTGGAGATAGGGAGGTGCAGCGAACTATGTTAGAGTTACTCAATCAGCTCGATGGGTTTAGTAGCGACGATCGAATTAAGGTTTGTTAATGCCTCATACTACTGATGGATCTTTCTATTTACTCTTCTTTTTCTTTATCATTCTGGTGCAATTAGAATTCCATTGGTGTTTTGAATTGTTTTGTCCCTCTGGTGTTCTTTTTGGGCTGATGTATCTGGGATGAAGATTTTTCTTTCTTAGGATCCCATTTCTGACAATTAAATTGGTTTAGTTCTTTGAGATGATGCAGTGTGGTGCTTAAGAGTAGTAAACTCTTGCTGTTTAGGATGCTTGAAGTCACCACTAATATAACTTTATGTAAATTGCAGGTGATAGCAGCAACAAATCGTGCAGATATCCTGGACCCTGCTCTTATGCGTTCTGGTAGGTTGGATCGCAAAATTGAGTTCCCACATCCAAGTGAAGAAGCAAGAGCTCGAATTTTGCAGGTACTGACACAATAACTTTTTTAGTGATTTGTGCTTTTCATCTCCTGTGCATAAAACTTACAGAATCCTTTACATGATTGATTTTGCAGATCCACTCAAGGAAGATGAATGTGCACCCAGATGTCAATTTTGAAGAACTTGCACGGTCCACTGATGACTTCAACGGGGCACAACTAAAAGCTGTTTGCGTTGAAGCAGGCATGCTAGCTCTTCGCCGTGATGCTACTGAGGTGCTTTCTCTCTCTGTGTGAATAGAAGGCCCGACAAAATCATTGTGTTATTTACTTTGAACATCTGAGTTTCGATTCAAGAAAGTGCCAATTTAAGTGTGTTCTGATGTTGTCTTATTACAGGTGAACCATGAAGATTTCAATGAAGGTATCATTCAAGTCCAGGCTAAGAAGAAATCAAGCTTAAATTATTATGCTTAGACGGAGTTCTAGGGGCATTCAAACAGAAGGAAGGGTTTTACTCAGGCAGCCAAGAAGAGAAAGCAAGAAAGCTTGTGAGTCTGGAGTTTGTTTATGTCAAGAACCAAATGCTTTACTTCTACAATGAATTTACCTTTAGCCTGCTGTACTGTAATACTTCAATTCAATGTAAACACCGCCATGCTTGGAAGTTTAGATGTAAACAACAATGAGATGCTGCAAGTGCTGCTCAAGCATCTCAAATTTGATTGTTGGAATTTTTCATTTTGGTATCTGCATTTGACATTTATATTAGATTTTGTTGTGAATTTATCTTGAGCAAGCTTGGCATATCATATATAACCCAGTTTCAAAACTGATTTCCTGGTCTGTTTTCCAGTTACACTACTGTAAATCCACCCAAAAGGACTCACTTTTTAGCCATCTGATTGCTTCCTGAAGAATACTACTAATTGTGGAATTACGAAAATCCAAGATTCTGTTGCTCTAAAAATGGTTGTTGGTTTGCCAGTGGTCAATTGTTCTAAAAGTGGTAAATTATTCTAAGGTAATCTCTCTTGAGTATATACTTAGTCGAAAGCTTAAAAATAGTAAAAAGTACCCAAGAACAGAAGATTTACAGCACATGAAAATTGTAAAAAGTTGAGACCAATGCCGCCATCTTATTTTCTTTTTCAAATGATTGTTAGGAATCGCAACGGCCCTTTTTATCTTGTTGTTTTATACCTTTAATTAGTAGGGTAGTTTAATGTGTCTTGTACGGAATCAAAATGCCCTTTTTCAACTCTAAGGAAAGATTTGCTCCGTGCTTAAGTTTTTTGGTTTAAACTTTATAGTAATTTATCATATTAATATCGTGGTTTACCCTACCTTTTAGACTTGTCCTTCCCCCCCACCGACGGGGGGCTCCACTTATATTTACTACGTCTTCTCCTACAACTACAAACACCTATTTAAAAGCCGGGCTGTTCGTTGACCCGGTTAATAGGCCGGTTTGTGGGTTGACCGATCTAACCGATTGGACCGGTCGGTCTTACCGGTATATAACAGTACCATCTTTAAACAATTCTATTAATTGTTATAAGTTTAAAAACTAGCAAATATATCCCTAAAAGTTCTATAAACCCCTCTAAGTTTAATATAAAGCAAATGGACCCTCAATTTTATTATTAATTTTTTTTCTCTCTCCCCATCACGCCATCACTTCCCATCAATTCTCTCTCCTTTTTTTTCTCTCTCTCCCCATCACTCCCCGTCACTTTCTTCTTCTTTCTTCTTCCTCTTTCTTATTCACCTACTGTAATTTTTCTCTTCTCTTCTCTTTCTCTTCATCTCCTCTTTTCTTTCTTCTAATATTCTTCTTACTCTTTCTCGTGTCTCCACTTCTCTTTCTTCTTCCCTCCCCTTCCTTCTTCTTCTTTGCCAGTAGATTTTAGTGTAAGTGTCCTGAAGGAGCATTGAAGATGAAAATAGAAGATAATGAAACGGTGCTGAAATTGGTTTAGGGATTAGGAATATGAATTTTTTTGGATTAGACGAACCGTTTTAAGCTCCGAGCCGGTCGGATCGACGATTTTGTACTATTCCATCGGTCCATTACCGGTCCAAAACGGGTTAATTAATATTTTCGATTTTGTGTTAACCTGAACCGAAGTAAAGGCCAGCTCCCGATCGAACCGATCGAACCGGCCGGTCTGGTCTGGGTTTTAAAACAGAGCTTTCCACCCCAGTCGTAGCTGCTCAACCAATTTTTTTCCCAATCACAATCACAATCAACTTTATTCTTTTTCCAAGTCTTCTCTCTCATCTCAACCGATAGCAGCCTTCACACCCAATAGCATTCGTTTGATACGGTTAAATTCTTTGATTTATCTCTTCAACTTTCTAAGTTTTGCAAACTTTTTTATTCACCAATCTTCTTATTTTTCTCTCTCTAGAAAGGTCACTCTATCCAACAAAGTTCAGATATCATGATTGTATATGAGTTGATGGGGTGGAAGGTGGAGTCTGGGTGGTTTGATGGTGCAAGAAAGTTGGTGACGGTAGTTCAAAATCGTGAACCCTCAAAATAGTCAGAGAATGGGGATTGTTTTATAAAACCGGTTAACCGGTAATCAAACCGAATTATCGGTTCGGTTAATAATCGGTTTAAGAGATAATTCGGTCCGGTTTTGGTTTGAATTATCTCCTGAACCAAAAAATCGATTCGGTTCAAAATATTAGTATTCCAGCCCGGTTAACTGGATTTCCACACCCCTAGTAACAAGTTGACCTATTGCAATGCTACTCTCTAAAAAAATTCTCAGCTATAGAGCATGATTCTATGTTAAGAGTTCAAAAGATCTCCATAAATTGCCCTCCCTGATAAACAACATTTTAACAACCTTGACTTAAGCCATTTGTCTGGTTTCAACTTCCATCAACAACAAAAAGAGAATAAAGAAAGAAATGTTTGCATTGCAGATGACAAATATCAATTGATTAAATAAAGTTGCATCATATACTACTAAAAGCAACAATTTTCCAAAAAAAAAAAAAAAAAAAAAAAAAAAAAAAATTTAAAAAAAAAAAAAAAAAAAAAAAAAAAAAAAAAAATGAGAAGGAAGGAGGAAAAAACCAGTTTAAAAACTTTCAAATTCAAATCCTGTCCATAAAACAATCTAGAATAATTGAAAGCAAGTAATGTAAAAGAATTATACCTTTGAACCTGTCCCACTAAATCTTTTAATGTAACATCTCTTGTAGATGGACCTAGCTTCATTTAAATGTCCCAATTCAATTTCCATAGCTATATAACCTTGCCAGGCTTCCAACATTGACCCCCTGCACAGACAAAAAGCAAGTTATATGGAAAAAATACAAAGATGAATCATAAATCAATCATATTGAACTATACAGGATAAGAAAGAGAAAAAGATGAATGCGCCAAACCAGATCTTAACCAGGTTCTCCCAAAAGCCCCGAGCTGCAGCTTGATCTTTTCCCAAATTTAGCTCCAAATGAGCCTAATAAGCGTACAAATGCAGCAAACCATCTGTATCCAGCAAACCATCTGTATTCTTCAAGTCACAAACAACATGTTTTTCTTTTTCTTTTTCTTTATTTAGACTGTGGAAGTTATAACTTTTTTCTGTTTCACGATTAGATATATAAGTGATATTTTTAGTCTTAGAATAATGATGGAAACCTTTCACAACAGTATCTTACTAGTTACAATGTTTAGAGACCATTTTTATAATAGTTATAGTAAAATCTTAGGTCCAATTGAGTAGATATTATTCACATTACTAGGCTTGCACGGATTTGAATTCGAGCATCACATAAACGTCCATTACTCAAAATGCACGGCTTTGTTTGGCATGCACATTTGCATTTAGGCTTCACAAGCGTCTTTCACCTAAAATGCATTTTATGAACCTCGCATGTCTATATAGGACGAAACCTTATGGGTTTTGCATCATTGTGAGGTCATCACTCATTATGGACCTCGCGCCCTTGTGGTGTCATCCCACGTCCCATCAAATAGCAAGTTTGCCATCTCCATGATTGTTCTCTTTCTCCTTTCACTGGCCCAATTTTGCTGTGGGGTGTATGGAGTGGTGAATTGATGCATAATCCCAGCTTCTTTGCAAATTGAGCCGAACTCACTTGATGTATATTCTGTCTCATTGTCACTCCTTATGGCCTTGATCTTCAACCCTGCTGATTCTCCACCAGAAGCTTGAATTTTCTAAACACAGTAGCTACTTCATTCTTTTGCTTTAGGAAGTACACCCAGGCTATCCAGGAGAAATCGTCAATAAACAGAACGAAATACTTACTTCCATTTAGTGATTCAGTTTTCATGGGGCCACACACATCAATGTGGATCAGTTGGAGTTTATTTGTTGTTCTCCAAGCCTGATCTGATGGAAAAGGTGGTCTGCTAAGTTTACCAAGTTGGCAGGCTATGCAAAAGCTCTTCTTCTCTTCAATTTTAGGTAAACTAGGACGTGTCTTAGTGGAAATGACCAAACCTTTTGTGCCAAAGTTTAGACTCTTCTAGCCTATGGTTAGTGCAAGAGTTTCTAATTTTTTCCACTCAATTGGGAAGCTCTTTCCCAACATCTTCACACTCATCAATTCATTTCCCCCTCTATCTAATATAACACATGATTGATTTTGAAATGCAGGGAATAATCATTTTCTAACATTTGTCCAACACTTAATAAATTTTGACTAATCTTGGGTACATACAAAACATTTGAAATAATTTTTGTACCTGATTGTGTTAGGACAACAACATCACCAATTCCCTTGGCCTCTAGATAATCACCATTCCCTATTTTGACTTTGGAGTTGTATAAAATATCCAGCTTGACAAAATTCTAGAAATCTGCTATCATGTAATTGGTGCAGCCACTATCTATCAATCAAACCTCATTGCTAACCTAAGTCGTACAACAAGAAGCCACAAAAAGTTGTTAAGACTCATGGCCTTGTTGTTGATCTTCCACGGCTTGTGCTTGTTGTTGTGGCTGAGTTCTTTTGTTCTTACACACCTTCTCAATGTGGCCAAATTGTTTGCAGGCTCTACATTGAATTCCAGGCTTAAACCAGTACCTAGTCTCTGCATGACTCTTTTTCTTGCAATGAGGACATGGTGGTAGCCTCTTGTTCCACTTGATTTTCCCTACTAACCACTAGTCTTTTCCACTTGATTTTCCCTACTAACCACTAGTCTTTTCCTTTCCCTTCTTATCTCTAGCATAACTTCTATTATTCCCTTGCATAACCTTGCCTCTTTGAGCTACTATCATAGCACCTTCATTAGCATCTTCCTGCCTCAATAACCTTCTTTGCTCTTGAGGTTGCAATGCATGGACTAGCTCGGTAAGGGTGATTTGAGACAGGTCCTTAGAATCCTCTAGGGAGAAAATCTTTGACTCAAACCTCTCAGGCAAACTCACTAGCACCTTCTCAACAATCATCTTGTCAGTCATCTCCACTCCAAGCAGCCTGATTTTATTGACCACACTCATCAGTCTATCCGCATACTCTTTTACCTTCTCAGTTTTTTGCATTCTCAACATCTTAAATTCCCTTCTCATTCAGCACTTGCATGTTTCTTATTATGTCACTTCCCATGAACTCCTCTCTTAACTTTCCATGCTTCTTTTGCAATTTGACATGTCATTATCGTTGTAAACACAAGGTCTATAATAGCTGAAAGAATATGGGATAAAGCTCTTAGAGCCTTTGACAATTCCTCCTCGTGTAGCCTTATTTGATTCAGAGTGGGATTTGGACCCAACTGAGGAGGCCGTTTCTCTTCTTCCACGCATTGCCAGAGTCCTTGCCCTCTTAAATAAGCTTTCATTCTATAGGCCACATGTGGTACTGCTCACCATTGAAGATAGGAGGTGAAAGGAAGGCTAATTGAGAGGCCATAGAAGCAGGTTTTGAGACTTGGGACATAGCTATTTTTTTGGAAAAAATGGAGGGTGACTGAGCTTGAGATTAGATTTTTTATTCTATCTAGAGGTCTGGTGAAATGGCTCTGATACCATTTGTTGGTGTTAATGCCAGATCAATCAAAAAAGGAAAAGAAGAAAAGAATTCGGAGAAGAGAAGGTTATCTTTCATTGAACAACATGGAACAAACTTATACAAAATACTTGCTTAGAGTCCACTGTTACAACCACCCTTGCAGGGACACTTCTACAGAATTTAAATTAAGCCACACAAGTTAAACTAATACATTATAATTTAAAGACAAAATGCCATAATCCCGGCTCCATCTACCTAATTACATCACAAAAACAAATCATCCAGCTGCCCCTTAACCAATTTTGTTCAGCACAGCAAAACAGTCTTCCTTGGCGCCAAAAACATTTTAAAAAAACCAGCCTCTGAATAATGCATTTCCAGCAAAATATCATTACTTCATCAGTTTAATTGCTTCTTGAAGAAGGGAGGTAATCAGATGGTCCATAAGGCTCAAATAGTTCAGCAAAAAATCCTTTCTTCCTTTTGGGGTTCCTTCCCATGTCCTTGTACAGTTGATCATTATACCATATATGAAGCCCACCTATGCATGATCTTCTGTAGTATTCACCAGAGGATTGCTTCATGAATTCATCCCATTTCTTTATATCCTTTTCCATCTCCTTTATGTTAGGTAATATGAAAGTTCCATAGAGAAGTTCTGCGAGCCACTGGCATCTCACCTCTGAGGTGTACAAATTTGCAACACTTTCCGAGAATCCAACTACTGCCAGTTGAGGAATTCGGGGATGAATGATTTCCCTGATCAAATGCAAACATATTAAAAGTTAATAATCTCAGTGAAGAAAAGTAAGAGGTTGGTACCTGAATATTTTCATTAATGTATATGCTAACCTGTAGAGTGGAACTGCTTCCTTTGGCGAGCCTAAAATGTGGTCTTGAAAGGTTTGGGAGACAAAAATGTCTTTGAGCTTTTTTTCACCCCTGAATCCTGTAGCCAATATCACCAAATCAGTCTTCAGAGGCTCGGTCTCTCCATTAACCAAGATGCCTTCTTCACAAAAGCTGAAACTTGGAGATTTCTTCAAAATGATGCTGCCCTCATCAACTTTGTCATAGAACTTTTCAGGCACCGTTGCGATCAAACATGAATTCAGTTCCTTAAGGAAACTGTGTTTGGGAACCGTTCCGTACTTTGCTAATCGAAGCTTGTGCTTAATATGGCTTTCTACAAATTTTGAAAATGCCCATCTCTGTAAATTGCATACCCCAAGTAAATTAGTCCTTTAAGATGGTGATTTTTTTTTTATTTGGAATGGAAGAAATATTTTGAATGATTCATAAAGGAATACAAAAAGTGTACCAGTGGTGAAAACAATGTTGCCAAGAGGCTCAGTAGAATTCCTTCTCCAGGCTTATGAACCAAAAGCTCTGAAAACCTGTTCAGGTAAAAGTATGCCAAAGGGACTCCCCAGGGAAGGTAATCAGGGACATTCCAGTGTTCAGTCTTGTACATAACCGTACATGGAAATTCCAACCCTGGAATCCAATAAAATTGGTTAATAGAAGATTAATGCAATAAACTGGAGATTCCTTCTACTTTTGGCACAAGTTATATGAGGATCTACAAATTGCTTGGTCTTTTACAGGAAACTTTAGTTGAGAATGATTAGTTGTTAAGTTTATCTTACCATTTGCTGTACTGCATTCCATTGCAATGTCCAATGCATTTTTTTGGAATCCAACCACGGTAACTCGCTTCCCTTTCAAAAACTCAGCAGCACTTTTGTAATCCATGGCAACGTATTCCATAGAGTGTATCACCTTGCCATGAAATGCTTCTGGACCCTTGTTTGGAGGGAATTCTGGCATGTTTGGAACATCACTGAATCGCCCCAAGCAGAGAATTACAAAGTCCACTTGGTAAACCTGCATTTTCAATAAGTCCTTAGCAAAAAGAAACATACTAGATCATAATGAACTGTATCTATATGTTCTTAAAACTCTAAACAAAGATATATAAAGGATACATGTACCTCAGTTGAATGGCTTTGTATGTCCTCTGCTACATCCTTCCATTTCCCTTGTGAGCTAAAGGGCGTACCACTGCCATTCCATGAACTCCAAGACCCAATCTCTTCATCGGAAGCACCTTCATATTCAATGCCAACAACCTTGGTATTGAATTTGATGTGCTTAAGCAAGTCAAAATGATGTGCATAAGATTGAATATAATCAAGGACTTGATGTTGGCTAGGGAAGTCTACAGTGACCGAAGAGGGCCACGGAAAATCTGAGAACTGATATGCTGGTTTAGGCGTTTGTATTTTTGTTGTCTCAACAGTTTTTATCCATACTCCTCCAATGCTACTTCTCGCCTCAAAAACAATGGGATGGAAACCTTTTGACAGAACGTACTTACAGGCAAGAAGACCACTAATACCAGCTCCAATGATGGCTATTTTTTTCTCCATTGCTAACTAGTATTAGCTATCAATTGCATATGCTTCTTCCTCCTTAGAGCCTGCTTATATTTATATATACAAATGGGGGGATGGATAGTAAATACATTGTTACTACAAAAATCAACCATGTGTAAATTTTAATAAATTATTCTTCCAATAAACCAGCAAGCAAGCAAGAAAAGTAAAATATATTTGCAGATTCAATCTGAAATTCAATCATTCACAGAATTCCAGCGGGAGCTGATTTGATTTGCCAGAGCCATAATTTTATTTTCATCAACCAGTTTTATAGCAACTTAAATGGAAATGGTCACATGTATTAGCTCACTTTCCCAGAACAAAACCCTTAATGTAACTTCCAACAGATCTAACTCTTCATAATTGAAGTTAAAAGAGTCTCACTTCTTGACCATTTCCCATGTGTTATCCCATTCACGCTTCATTGATTATCAATATTAAAAAATTGGAAGACCATCTATTGCATCTACCATATGACACACTCAAGAATTAATTAGTATATCAGTTCATGAATGCAGTGGCCGGTGGGTGAGACTTTCTATTGCAGAAGAAAGTTTCCTTTATTTTTTAAATTGCACATTTTCAACCGACAAATCCTTGAAAAAAATGAGAAGAGATAAGCAGTAGTGACATACCCTCAAGTGCAAAAAGAACACCTCCACCAACAAATTATCTCATGAATTCCAGTGTTTTCTTGGAGCTTATCTTCTGTTAGCAACTTTATATAAGCTACGAAGAGAATGAGAAATTATCCAGCATGAAGTTTGACAGCCTTTATGAAATATTTTATATAGGAAAATTTGACGGCAAAAACAATCAATAATTGTCATGATCTTAATTATTAGGCGTTTAGAATTAAGAAAAATGATATAGTTATTCAAAAAAATATACTAAATTTATACATCGATAGATGTGACACAATCTTAATCGTCTATTAATTATAAATTTTTTTTTTTAAGAAAAATAGATGATACCACACATGTTAATGCATGAATTTAACGTATATTTTGAGTGACCGTAACATTGCTTATTAAGAATTAGATATTAATGGATTCTATTCGCATTTTATTAGTAATTTTCATTCCATTAAAATAATGCAGTGATGACTTAGGAAATGGAATAGTCACATCAAATGCCAAACTTTTATCATCAGTGATGTTGACCCATAAAGAAAGGGAATTACTTTATATTAATTTTGATCCATAAAGAAAGGGGATTACTTTATATTAATTTTGATTAAACAGAGTCCTGATTTCCAATGTGACTGTTTGATTAATGAAATGCCTCCAATGACTAATCAATATGCATAGAAATTAAAAATTGTGCACCTGCTTCAATATGGCCAGTCGGTGGGCTTGATCTAACTCATTAACAATCTTATCATCAATCGGAATCACAAATTTTCAAGTCATATAATGTCTTTACAACTTTCTCTCACATTTTTCATCATGGACGAAGTTGAAGAATTTGTTTTTTGGTAACTAAAGTATTCGGGTGAATTTGTGTTCATTTTAATTAATATCAGAGATCTATTAAACATCTTATAAACTCAAAGAACCAGATAAACTACAATATCATTATACTAAGTGATATCAAGGTTTGAACATAGAAACTTAAAAAAGAGAACAAACATTTTTTACCCTCAGAATAACCCATTGTGGTTAAACAAATATAAAGAGTTTGATATACTCAAAATTTAATCCTCAGGAATAAGGACATTTAGTGTTGAATTTTGCCAACTCATGTTGTTCTTATCCATATACAAAATGGTAAGACAAAGTATAGTCTTGTCAGATCTGGAAAAAGGATGTAGTTCTTATCCATATACAAACTAGTAAGACAAAGTATATTCTTGTCAGATCTGGAAAAAGGGTAGCACACCGAATGACAAATGTTAGTATATGAAGTTATATTGCTATCATATTAGTTGAATAGTTAATTACACAAAGTGATCTGATGGTAAAAAAAATAAAAAGAGGTTTCATGAGCTTTTGAGTTCGAATCTCTATTAATCCTAATAGGGGTGATCATTGAGAAGCTTATTCGATTGTCAACTTCAACGTTACAAGAGATTAGTTGAGATGGACACAAACTGATATGAACAAAAGGATAGTTAGAGGATGATATAATATTTGTATAAATAAAATATCTTATGACAGGACAAACTGCAAGCTGGGTGGTGGTAGCATTCTGGTTGTTTATTACAAAGGCTTGTTTGTTATTATTGTGTTTGTTAGAAGTTTTCATGTGATATAATATTTGTATAAATAAAATATCTTATGACAGGACAAACTGCAAGCTGGGTTGTGGTAGCATTCTGGCTGTTTATTACAAAGGCTTGTTTGTTATTATTGTGTTTGTTAGAAGTTTTCATATGATATAATATTTGTATAAATAAAATATCTTATGACAGGACAAACTGCAAGCTGGGTTGTGGTAGCATTCTGGTTGTTTATTCCAAAGGCTTGTTTGTTATTATTGTGTTTGTTGGAAGTTTTCATTAAGTGATTATGGCCCAAAACCACTTTTTTCCTACCATAGTTTTACTGAAAGACAAACTGCAAGCTGGTGGAGAGGTTTGCTGTGAGCAAGTGTTGTAAGAGTATATGAAAAGAAATAGTATTTATGATCTACCTATAAGATACCCCAACCCCACATGCTTTTTTATTTCTTCCATTAATAAGTCAAATGCATTATTGTAATCGAGATCTTCATGGAGATATTTGTACAAGAGTTTATGGCAAACAAGTGATTTTTTTTTTTTTTTCTTTTTCTCTAGTTAAAATGTGCAAGATAATGTGTCTTACTTTATAGAAAATTCACACATTCTTCTGCTTATGAATTAGATTACAAGTGGTCTTTTTAGACTTGGAATAATCATGGAAAGCTTCTGTTATGCCTGGGAACATAGGGCTAACGTGGCACCCAGTTAAGTGCGAAAGGTCAGATCTCGAGAAGAGTCTACTGCCATGTTTGTACAACTATCAACCATGTGTAAATTTTACTAAATTATTCTTCCAATAAACCAGCAAGCAAGCAAGAAAGTAAAATATATTTGCAGGCATTCACAGAATTCCGGGGGGAGCCGCTTTGATTTGCCAGAGATACAATTTTATTTTCATCAACTAGTTTTATAGCACCTTAAGTGGAAATGGTCACGTCTTCATGTGACTTCACATGTATTAGCTCACTTTCCCAGAACAAAACCCTTCATGTAACTTCCAACAGATCAAGAAGTTCTTAAATCTTCAGAATCTAAGTTAAAAGAGTCTCACTTCTTGACCATTTCCCTGGTGTTATTCCATTCACAGTTCATTGATTATCAATATTAAAAAATTGGAAAAACATTTATTGCATCTACCATATGACGCACTCAAGAATTAATTGGTATATCCGTTCATGACATGCACTGGGTGAGACTTCCCAAATTTGTGATAAGGTTATTCTATTGCAGAAGAAAGTTTCCTCTTCTTTATCTTTTAAATTGCATATTTTCAACTTACACATCCTCCAAAAAAATGAGATTAGATAATGTTATGCCTCAAAGTCACGTTTATGTCAGCTATATAAATGTGGCCAAGCCTAATCGCTCAAAGATATCCACACCAACCATATCTCTTTTCAAGAAATGAATGGACGAGAGCCTTCCATGTATCAAGGTAACTTGCAAAACACTATTACATTGGTGTTTAGGTGTATAAATAGCACTTCTCTTCCCGAAGAAGGAGGCTGGGCTGAGATTTGAGCTTTATTTCATTCTCTCTCTGTAAACACTGTATTTCTTCATCTTTATATGCTTATGGGCAATATCATAAAAATAGTCAGAGATCAATAAAATGACAGTGGATATAGGAGTCGCTTGTGAGCGATCTGAACCACTATAAAAACCTCTTGCCAATCTTTTATTTATGTTTTCGCAACATAATAATCTCAGCTCCATATTCAAATCTCATGGATCCATCACGTGTGATTCCTAAATCCGCTTAGTGCTTTCACGTGTGAGTCGTTGGCGTCCAAAATCAAGCGTCAACAGTTTGGTGGCCCATGCAGGTTCGATTCTCAAACCTGCGTCCAAGTTTCCTGATGGCGTGTCAGATCTCAAACATGCGTCAGAATTCTCCAACGCTTGGTTAGATTGCACACGTCAGAGTTCTCCGATCGCGTGGCCAGATCACAGATGTACTCGTTAGAATTCTTCGATCGCGCATCAGAATTCTCCAACGCGGATCGCCTGCATCAGATAGCGGATCGCACGCATCAGAGTTCTCCGATCGCGTGGCCAGATCGCAGATCGCATGCACAGGTCGTCTGATCCTTGGCTTCAGACGCTGATCTTTAGCTTCAAATCGCGTGTTCAGATCGCTGACACACGCTGAGATGTTGATCTTTTGTGCTCTTAGGTAGAGCTCGTTATGATCTCTCAGGTCGAGCTCGTTATGACCTTTTCAGGTCGAGCTCGTTTTGACCTCTTAGATTGAGGTCGTTTGCTTATTGAGCGTTTTGATCTCTCAGTTGAGGTCGTTTTGACCTCTCAGGTCGAGGTCGTTATGGCCTCATGAGCTCGTTTTGACCTCTAAGTCGAGGTCGTTATGACCTCTTAGATTGAGGTCGTTTTGCTTATGAGCTCATTTTGACCTCTTAGGTCGAGGTCGTTTTGCTCATTGAGCTCGTTCTGACCTCTCAGGTCGAGGTCGTTTTGACCTCAAGTTGAGCTCGTTTAGATCGTTTTGCCAGATTGAGCTCGTTTGACCTCTCGGGTCGAGGTCGTTTTGACCTCAAGTTGAGCTCGTTTTGACCTCTCAGGTTGAGGCGTTTGACCTCTCACGTCGAGGTCGTTTGACCCTCAGGTCGAGCTCCCAACAGATTTTAGGTCGAGCTCCTAACAGATTTCAGGTCATGCTCCTACCAGATTTCAGGTCGTTTTCCTAACAGATTTCAGTTCAAGCTCCTAAGTTCGAGACTGCAGCCATTCAGATCAAAGACTTTAGTTTCTAAAGCGCGGTTACGCACTTCAAAAACTGGGGGGCTTTTGTTATGCCTCAAAAGTCACGCTTATGTTAGCTTAATAAATGTGCTGCCAAGCCCATATCTGCTCAAAGATATTCACACCAACCATATCTTCTTTCAAGAAATGAATGGACGAGAGCCTTCCATATGTCAAGGCAACTTGCAAAACACTCATTACATTGAGTGTTTAGGTGGATAAATTAGCACTCCTCTTCCCGAAGAAAGAGGTTGGGCTGAGATTTGAGCTTTATTTCATTCTCTCTCTGTAAACATTGTATTTCTTCATCTTTGTATGTCTTATGGGCAATATCATAGAAATAGTCAGAGATCAATAAAATAACAGTGGATATAGGAGTCGCTTGTTGAGCATCCGAACCACTATAAAACCCCCTCTTGCCAATATTTTATTTATGTTTTCTGCAACATATATAATCTCAGCTCCATATTCAAATCTCATGGATCCATCACGTGTGATTCCTAAGTCCGCTTAGCGCTTCTCACGTGTGAGTCGTTGGCGTCCAAAAGCAAGCGTCAACAGATAAGCAGTAGTTACATGCCTTCAAGTGCAAAAACACACCTCCACCAACAAAGAGGAAACCCTTTTTATCTCCTGAATTCCAAGTGTTTTCTTGGAGCTTATCTTCTGGTATCAACTTTACATAAGCTAAGAAGAGAATGAGAAATAGTCCAGGATGAAGTTTGACAGTCTTTTTGTAATATTTCAGTTAGGAAATTTTGACGGAGAAAACAATCCATAATTTTCATGATCTTATTAATGGATCCTATTCTTTTCTGTACTTTGACATTTTATCAATAATTTTCATTGCAGGAGATATACCTGAGATTTTATTCCATTAAAATAATGCAGTGATGACTTAGAAAATGGAACAGTGACATCAAGCATCAAATGCCAACCTGTTATCATTACTGAAAGTTGACCCATAAACAAAGGGGATTACTTTATATTAATCTTAATTAAACAAAGTTCTGATTTCCAATGTGACTGTTGGATTGATTAAATACCTCCAATAATTGTGCACCTGCTTCAATATGGCCAGTTAGTAGGCTTGATCTAACAGGTTAACAATCTAATCATCCATCGAAATGACTAGTTTTCTAGTCATACAATGTTTCTGGGCAATTTTCTCTCGCATTTTTCATCATAAATTGACAAATTTGAAGAGTTTGATATACTCAAAACTCGGTCCTGACGAACAGGGACATTTAGTGTTGAATTTTGCCAACTCATAGTAAGACAAAGTATAGTCTTGTCAGATTTGGAAAAAGGGTAGCACACCGAATGAGAAATTTTTGGTATATGAAGTTATATTGCATCATACTAGTTGAATAGTTGGAGGATGATATAATATTTGTATAAATAAAATATCGATGACAGAACAAACTGCAAGCTGGAGGTGGTAGCATTCTGGTTGTTTTTTCCTAAGATTTGTTCGTTATTATTGTGTTTGTTAGAAGTTTTCAATAGCGATTATGGCCCAAAAGCACTTCTTTCCCACCATAGTTTTACTGAAAGACAAACTGGAAGCTGGTGGAGAGGTTTGCGGTAAGTAATTGTAAGAGTACATGAAAAGAAATATTTATGATCCACCTATAAGATACTCCAACCCCACATGCTTTTTTATTTCTTCCATTAATAAGTCAAATGCATTATCGTAACTAAGATCTTCATGGAGATATTTGTCCAAAAGTTTATGGCAAACAGGCGATTTTTTGTTTTTCTCTGGTTAAACTGTGCAAGATAATGTGTCTTACTGTATAGAAAATTCAGTCTTTCTTCTGCTTATGAACTAGATTACAAGTGGTATTTTTAGACTTGGAATAGTCATGGAAAGCTTCTATTAGACACTACTCAATCATAATACATTTCTCAGATTGTATCTTACAAGGTGCAAATTACTTTGAGGTCCACATTTCAGTTTTACAGGTTATTTAGCTAACCAGTAAACACACTATTGAACTAGTATTTTGATAAGTTGCCATTTTGATGCTTGGAAAACCTCTAAAATATTTAGCATCAACAGTTCAACACACCAACCTTGACTGTATAAACCACAAAATAGGATGATTCTTGAGGCTACTGCATCTCTTACAAATGCTGCAACAATCTTCAACCATGCTTTTCTGAGATCTTAATGTGAATGCCGTCTTTAAATTGTAAAATAGGATTCCGAACAATGTTTCCTCCCTTGATCTTTGTCCACCTATATAAAGAGAAAAATAATATATTTATAAAGCTTGTTCAACTATTCAGAATATCCCATGTGTGTGCTAAGTGATTTTCAAAATAAATAAATAAAAAAAAAGCATGTTGAGCTGATATTTTATATATTACCTATACTTGGTGACTAAGACATGGAGAAAGATGACCAACAACACCCTGCTATATTCAGCACCTGCACATTGCTTCATGCCTCCACCAAAAGGCATGAAATTCTTTGCTATAACATTTGCTTTAAGGTCCTAATTTTGTTTATGAAAGGCAGATGAAAAAAAGTGTCAATCTAATTGCACAACAGTTATTGCTAATGGTTTATTTTTGGCTGTTGATCAGAATAAAATATTTTACCATCCAACGCGATGGATTGAATGCAAGAGGGTCCTCGTATGTGTCAGGATTTAATTGTAGAGCTGAAGCGGCAACCATAATCGCCCAACCAGCTGGAATTGTATAGCCTGTGAAGAAATAATCCATATTTTCTTTTTATGTCATACTTCTCAATCAAAATTAAACATGGTGATAAGTTTCATCTTTGGTTTGAGTTTACCATTCACTTGAATATCTTGCCGTGCTCTTCGCAAGAACCCTGGTGCATCACTTCCTAATCTAAGCGTCTCATTTACTACCTGTTATTTCTCATAGAGAAGAAAGTTAGTAAATAGAGAAATTTGCATAAGAATTTTTCGTTTCTCTAGGAAAAGACACATGAATAGACCAAGTTAAAGCTATGGCACTGACATGAAGGGTAAAAGTCATTGACTTATATTCTTCCCATGTGATTGGGGAATCTGATTTTTCTCGCCTTCTTAGAATAGCTTCATTCTCAGCCTGATAAATAAACCACAGATGCAACAAGTATGTAAAGTAATTATTTGTATGTATTTCCAAATTTCTGTAAATCTGCTATAAAGGTTTACTTACTGTCAGTTCCTCTAACACCAAAGGATTCTCTGAAAGTAACTTGAAAACTAATGTTAATGTTGATGAAAGTGAATCAAAATTAACAAAGAGAAGTCCAAACATAAGCTGAACAACAACATCCTCTGTTAAAAATTTCTCAACATTCATGTCTTCAATAACATGATCAAGGACGTCACCATGTTGCCTATCAGGTGAAGCTCGTCTCTCTTGGACCACATTGGCCAAAATTTCAAATGTCTTTTTATACTCCTGAATAATTATCAAGAGATTAGAATGATTATGCTTAAAAAAGATACTTAATGAACTTAGGATGGGAATTACCTTTAAACATTTGTAGTATGCAGTTCCAGGGATATTCAAGGGAAAGGACATAAGACCTCGTGAGAAATTAATGAATTTATCACAGAAGTTCATTGGTGATTTTTCATTATCGTAACTAAAGAGCTGCTTGGCACCAAAATCAAGAGTCATCTGGTATCATCAAAGTAATTTATGAGGCTCCTATTTTACAGACACATCTTGTGCAAAATTGCAACCATATTAACATAGCAAGTGAGCTTGAAACTTACAACTGAAGTAGCATATTTCACTTCTATGCATTCTTGGCTTGACCAACTGCTAAGGGTTTTATGAACCATTTCCTCAATCTTAGGAAGCAGCTTTCCTTTGAGGCTCTCAACACCAAAGTGATTCAAAGATATCTTTCGAGTGTACTTGTGAATGGAGGCCCTGTCTGCTTTATTCTCCCCTTGCTTGAAAACCTTAGCAAATAAGTCCAAATACCAAGCTTCAACCAACTTTCCTTCTTGCAGAAGAATGAAGTGGTTAAATTCAGGATCAGCAGACACAACCATGTCTCGACCAGCCACATTAGTTCGAAATATTGGACCATATCTGAAACATCATAGAAAGGTTATAGTCCCCCATCTAAAATGTTTGATAAACAATATTTTCATGTAAATTTACATATTAGTAACAATACCTCTGCACTCTCTCCTTGATAAATTGTGGAACATCCAAGGAATGACTGGGGATAATTAACTGTATAGTCTCTCCAATGAAAGGAAGCCCCATTGATCCTGGAGGAAGAACTTCATTGCACTTGGGATTTCTCCACTTTAATATAAAATGAGTTAAGCATATGATAACCAATGCTATAACACACAATGCAATAGACCACAACATTACTAACTAAACTCTATTTGCATAAACTTATAATCTTTACAGAAGAGAACAATGTGTGTGATAAACGCACTTTGAAAAGTTCAGGAAACAAGAAATAACCTTGCCAGGAACTAGGCATGTAAATGAAGCTTTTTATATAGGAACAACACAGGAGGAGTCAACATGAATAAGATAAAATAAAGAGTTGAAAATAGAGAAGAGCCAACAGTAACAACCAAGAAAGCAGATTAAATTGAGTAAAGCTAATATCTTTGGACATAAAGCTGAATGTTTAGTGACCAGCCTCCTTGCAATTGACTACTAGGAATATCCTATCACTTCTCAATCTTAACACAGATGGCACCAAAATATCCATGATGCTATTTTCTTTCTAGAGATTATGGGAGGCCTGAAATTTTGGATACTTTCAAACTGATTTATTGTAACATTTCCTAAGATCAAGCTTAAGAAGTTCACATAATTTTGTACAGTAGCTGCTGTAAAATTATTTTTCTTGTGTTCCATAAGTGTGAATGGCATCCCATATGAAACAAATGTGAATGGGATGATGTGTTGTCATCCCCACTTTATCACGACACAAATCAGACATCATAAAAGTGGATGGACAATTTTCTGTCAAATCCCCACGTATCAAAATGATTATGAACTGTAAAGACTAGCTTTCAGCCATAAAGGGCAAGTTTCAGTCATCGTGGATCTATTTTCCAGGGTGGAGAGATTTCTATAACTTTATTTATTGACTAAGGCACCGAAAAATGGACAAATGAAACATTTACTACCCCACATTTGTCTGATTGCTCCACCGAAATACATGGAAACTTTAACTTTGGCACGAAGTAGTCAAGATCCCTACCCTAAATTGACGGCCAAAGAATAAGATCTCAAGATTAAAAAATTAAGTGTGAATCACAATTGGCTAACTTTTCGTGTCTTCTAAAGTTTCTTATGAACAAATGTGAATGGGTGCTTCATCAGAATAAAGTGTTGATTAGTAATAGTGAGATCCTGTTTTATAAGAAACTGATAAAAAAAATATTGCATCATAATACAAGAATTATGACAAGTATGCTCAAAGATTTTTCATTCAATAATGCTACGGACATCGGTATTTTTACACCGAAATCTTGTACTGGCCTAAGTGCTCTGTGATTCACACCAGCAAACTAGACACGTTTCACGTTATTAATTTTTTTTCCAGTGAACGGCCGTTCACCAACTATGGACGGCAGTTCACTTACTATAGACTCCGGTCCATATTATATGGACGGGAGTCCATTTACTATGGATGGGACTCTCTATTTAAAGGATGCCCGTCCATTATTAATGGTTTTAAAAAATTTAAAAAAAAATTAGGGACTCCCATTTATCAGTTATGGACGGCCATCCCTGAATTTTGGACGGGTGCCCACAAATAAGGGACGTCCGTCCATAATGTAAATATTGGTCGTTCATTTTAAGCGGACAACCGTCCATATTATATGGACAGTCGTCCACCTATAATGGACGTCCATCCATAATTTAAACTAAAAAAATTGAAAACAAAAACCATGGACGCCCATCCATAATATATGGATGGGCGTCCCTACTGAATGGATGGGCGTTCTTATTAGATGAACGCCCATTCATGGTTTAAATTAAAAAAAAAAAAGTATTGGACTTGCGTCCTCTTTTATCGACGCCCGTCCATTTCTCTATTTAGTAGCACCTGCTTTTTACTTTATTTTCATGGCACCTGCTTCTTGGCTTTTTTTTTTCCATGGAAGTATTCCCAAACCTGTAAAGAGTCATTCTTGAAGAAGACTGTTTCAACAACTAAAGTTGCTCTAACATTTTCAACAAACAACACTCAAATTCAGGCCTGCTTTTTCATCTTACACAACTTTGATTGGTGCTTTTATGTAGTTCATGAACCTGATCTCATGCTTGCATACGTTTTGCAAAGAAAAATGCTTAGTATGGGCAGGCGTCCAAATCAAAGAAGTTGAGGGAAGCTTCTTTAAGTATATATGGACGGGTGTCCATTTTATGTGGACACCCATCCGTTATTTTTCTTTTAAAATTTTTTAGACAGACGTCTATTCTTTGTAGATTAGCGTCCAAATTTTTTTTTATTTTTTAAAAGCATTGTTAATGGACAGGCGTTCGCCCGTCCATTAATTTTGTTTAATAAAATTTTATTATTAAAATATTAGACAGGTGTGTATTATATGTGGACACTCGTCCATTTTTTGGGACGGTCGTCCCCAAGTTATGGATGGCTGTCTCTTAATTTTGTTTATATTTTTTATTCTATTTTATTGATGGACGGACGTCCTTTAAATGGGAACGTCAATCCGTAGTAAATAGACCCCGTCCATATAATATGAACGGGAGTCCATGTAAGTGAACAACCGTCTATATTCGATGAACAACCGTTCACTAGAAAAAAATTTAATAACGTAAAACTTGTCTGGTTTGCTGGTGTGAATCACGGGACACGTAGGCTGGTACAAGATTTCGGTATAAAAATGTCAGTGTCTATTGTTGTTTTTCATTATACATTTCCTGATAAGTGAGATCAACTCGTATTATTCAAAACTGGTCATTCAAAGAACTAAAAAAAATTCAAAGCATGAAATAATGACTTGGGTAAGATTCTAAAATTTGAATTGATGACTACAATGTAGATCGAACATTACAAGGTGATCATTCCAGATTAGAAATGACAGTATTGACGACCTCTTGAGTAGTGCTGTGTCCACCGAGATCTTTGGTCATGCATTTTCCAGTGGATATTACACGTTTTACACTCAAGTCGATCAGCAAATGAAGGAAACTGCAAGTGCCTCAGCATCATGGCTGATGAAAGAAGCAGAGCCACAGGATTTGCCTTCTTCTGTTCCAGTACTTCTTCATTTCCCACATTTCCTGCTGAAGCACCTTGCTCAAAAACAGCATGATCAGCTCCCACATTACCTGTAGTCACCAAACACTTGATGAGAATGACTCATAACTGACACAAGAATCACTTTCGGAGGAATCGATGCAGCACCAAAACAGTTTTGCCTAGGTCGTTCCTTCTTGAGTATATTCATCAATGAAATAGCTTAGTCATTAATTACCATAAAATAATATCTAAATATCACAGCTCAACAGAGCATACAGGAAACAGTTTAAAAAGCATTAGAACTTATCGATCAGAGTGATTTTTACCTCCAGGCATGACGCCAGTGCCTCCAGCAATACCAGCTGCTGTATTTGCCACTAAGTTGCCATAAAGATTTGGGGTCACCTACAAATACAAAACAGCCTCCATAAGTTAGGTTGCTAGAAAGCTAGAAAAAGTCAACGCCAAACTGGCTAACCAACACTTGGATATGAGCTAAACCATCAACTGGTCAAAAAATCAAATAAAAAAAGACTCTCAACGTTGTGTAGGTCTCTGTGATACAATTTCAGTCAATATGTCAAGCTTAAATGTCACAATTTTCATGTTAAGATCTACAAAGCATCAAGAGTTAGTCTTAGACCAAAGTTGCATCTCTATATATCAGCATTGTCTCACATGCCAATTCAATCATAGAGGTGCCATTGCTAAAATGTACCAAAAAGGAAGAATAGTCCTTAACAATTAGCCGAGCTGATTATACTCATTCAATTATTTAATTAATGACCATGCCATCCAAAACACAACAAAATTTAGCATTAACAGCAAACTGTCATAAGAAAGACTGAACTAATCTATATCAATCTTTGGAAGTGACATACCATTACATCAAATTGCTCAGGCTTTGAAACAAGTTGCATACAGCAATTATCAACAATAACTTCATTATACTTGATACTGGGATACTTCGTTGCGACTTCCCGACAAGATTCCAAGAACAAGCCATCAGCAAGCTTCATAATGTTGGCTTTGTGAACAGCTGTCACCTTTTTCCTGTTGTTTAAATAGGCGTACTCAAATGCATATTTTGCAATACGTTCTGAGCAGAACTTTGTCATCACCTAGAAGAAGAAGAGCCGAATGAGAAAGAAACAGAAATGCTACCACAACAATTAAAATATTCAACTAAAAGCAGGCCCAACTATTCCCAAAACATCAGAAAACTCCTGAATCACGTCTAAATACATTACTACAGCATTGGTGGATAACACAAGTAATGTTACAAAGCCAGTTGACCAAAAACAAATTGAAAACATTAATTGGCAAGCAAAATAGCAAATCCCTAACAATAGAACATTTCAGATTTCCATTTCTGCAGCACACTCGGTAACATCTCCAGAATTCACTAACAGTAGTACCCAACACTAATATTATTTAATAGGGCCAAGAAAATGGCACTGACCTAGCAACACCACTTGGCAAGCAATATAGCAAATCCCTGCCAATAGAACACTAATTTCCCTTCTCACAACACACTCTTACCAGAATTGAGATACAGTAAAATAAAATTCCCCTTTCCATGTGTCAATCAAAAGAATAGTTCTTTTTTTAATAATTTTTTTATAATCTCAAGACATCGAGCAGCTGAACTGATACTAATATAATTAAAAAAACAAATATTAAACTAAACTAATTGCCCCAAGGCCCTTGCCGACCATGATTTAGAATCCCTTTACCTGTTGTTATACCAGAGACCGCCAAGTACTGCCAAACAGTTTTTAAGGCGGTTATTGGTTTCCAGCCTAAATATCCTTAAAAGTTGTATGGGATGGATGAACAGGACTGCTACAGTGGCGCCCGCAACACGGGCTGGTGAGTCGCGGGCCTCTAAAGGATCAGAGAGGAGGCCAAAGCTCCAAAAATCACCCTAAACCGCAAAAGGGCACCGTGTATCAATCTTCTCCAAGAGGCATGAAGCATAACAGTTGCCGCATCCAAGATCACAAAAATATTCTAAACCTAGTAGGCAACCGCGGCAGAGCCGAACTGAGAGCCTATTAAGAAAAGAAACTTCTGTGAAGGAAGGGAACTTTAGCCAGTGTGTTTCTTAGCAAAACTAATGCAGAGAGGGATTTAGCTAGAGAGAGACATTGTAGAAAGAGGGGAGAAATTTTATTTATGAACTGATCTGATCTGCCTTCTAAGCGAAAGGGAGCCCCTTTTTATAGCGAAGAGGGGCGCCTTACATGCATTTTACAAGTGACACATATTACATTGAGATAAGAGACAACAAAATCTAAAGCA